AATAAAGTGAGATGAGCGCCGCAACCCCAGAGTCGGTCACGACTGGACCTAATGGTCGGGGTCCCTTTACCTTTACCCCTGGTGTAGAATATCAGGCCCCATGTGTGTCCTGAAGAGTGCATGGGGGCACCAACAAAAGTCCATAGCCAGGACTGCAGGGTTTGAAGGGAGGGGAACGAACTTTTCTGCATGAGTGGAAAGTCTTTCTATGGCTCATTAATGTGTTACTGGAACATCACCTTTTCCCTCCATCTCCAATGTGAACTTGCTGCTTTTGGTATATTTACACACAGAGATTCAGACACCCACCAGCCCTGCTGGCACAAATTAGGCGTTTCCAGATGGAGGAGCTCTTAGGCATTAAGCGCCCTGGTTCAGGAGAACCACACAGGGATGGCCAGTTCCGATTTGCTACACAATCATGCACAACCTCCTTCTTTTGATGGTACTGCTTATCTACTGTAGGTCTGCTGCCCAGCTATTCTTCCAGCAGTGAGGGAAGCTTGTTCGGATGCAAGCAAATGCACCTTGATTCCAATCCAGCAAGAGAGACAGAGAAACGAGCAGCTAAGAATTACTACAAACACGTAGTATGAATTTAACTTACTTAATAAATACCCCTAGATCTCCCATTTATATTTCACAAGAACGTCCTACTAATGTGCACAATAAGCATTTCATCTTTGTATAGAAAAGAATATACTGAAATAGAAAGGAGACAGAAATACGTACTGGAACATTATTATAAAATTAATGTCTAAAATATTAGATTCCCTACTATTGTTCTGAAATTGCACATCTCAATCAATCAGTACAGAACATATAGAATTAACCTTCTACATGATAGTTGCAGTGACAGTACTGTTTGCCCCCAAATGGAAAACTCTATTATTGCCTCAGAGTAGTGACTGGATAAATAAGTTTTGGGAATTAGTTTTGATGTAAAAATTAACTGATTATTTTTGTAGCTAATGGTTCTGAAACCAAGGCAAATACATAACAGTGATGACAAGGGACAGCCTTAGCTTTTGTCTTTAGTCTGTTCAGAATTGGATTTAGGCAAATCTTAGCTCGCAAATCTGTTTAAATCGCATGAACTCATCTTCTAAACTTTGCTCCAAAGAAGGTCACAAAAGGAAATGGCCATCTAGAGCATTTATAATAACTAGTCATTACACTTGACTCTTCTGCAAATTCTACATTGAAGAAATAAAGGTTGCTGTGTAAGGAGACACCACTGTTGGATCCCAAGGGCCAGAAGGCAATAGGATCTCCAGTGCTGGTAGCAGAGGTCCTCACATTGGTCCTTCAGTTACACCTAGTACCTCCTGCTCTGGATCCCATCACGATCGCACATGGAGTGGGCAGGTCAAAGGCAAAGTGGGGAGGTTAGCTATCAAGACTCTCAGTTATCGATCCACTGTGCAATGCAGATGGTTACACAGACACAGTATAGTCACAGCCCTAGTCCCAAAACAGAGAGAGAGAGGATCTGTAGAAAGAGCTGGTCGAATGCTTTTCTGGGCTTGTGGTTAAGCTACTAGCTAGCAGAGATCAGAAGAAGCCGATATGAATTTGCAGGAAGCCAGAGGAGAGAGTATGTGCAAGGTGGCTTGCTGTTCCATCCAATAAAAGTTGTTTACAGACAAAATACCACCTAGCAGCCTTCTTCTTTTTTTTAATACTGCGGTTGCTGCAGATTTGTGTTTTTAGAGCATGTCTCCTTGTGGCCTGGCTTCTCCCACACTGACATTTCGCATAAGTGTTACCAAGGAAACGGCGGGGTAATGAATTTGGCACCACAATTTCGCCACAGAGACAAAAAGGGAAATAAACTTGTATTCAAAGAGGGAGAGTCGATGTTTGAACAGTACTGGACTGTGAAGGGCTGTAAATTTAGCAGTGTGTGTCACAGAAAGCCAAGGAGGAGAAGCAGTCAAGTTATGACATCTGGGCATTTCCCTAGAATAAAGGCCCTCTCTATTAATCCTGCAACGCCTTTCGGATTTCTTTCCAAAAGGTCATTGTCGTTTCTTTATACTGCCATTCAAGAATACCAAGGAAGAAATCAAGGCATGTCCATGTAACTAGAAGTCTGCCTCCTCCCAGTTTGATGAGGGTTTAAACACACCCAGACCCGGACTTGTCTTTTTATATAATTGAAATACTTTATTGTCACTTGTACAACTTGTATACAGTGAGATTACACAAGCACCCCCCACTCAGCTCTCTTAGTCTTAATTCCCCTTGTTTACTGACGCACACCCACCAAACCCAAAAGTCAGTTGCCTGGTTGTTATCTTTTCATTCAGCAGCCTAACAGCCAACGGATAAAAGCTGTTCTTTACCCTGTTGGTGCAACTGACTTCTATATCTTCTGCCCGAGGGCGGGAGATCAAGAAAGTGCCGGCCAGGGTGTGAATCATCCCTGAGAATTTTCCTCACTCTCCTGAGGCAACGTTCTTCTGCTATTTCATCCAGCGGATTCACAGGACAGCCCATAATATCTTGTGCTATATTCACCACCCTCTGCAGGCACTTCCTATCAGTTGATGATAAACCAGCGTACCACACCGTGATGCAGTATGAAAGGACACTTTCTATTGTGGACTGGTAGAAGGAGATCATCAAATGTTGATTGACATCGTTCTTCCACAGTACTCTGAGGAGATGGATATACACAACAATGGAGACCCTGTAGCCTTCTAGATGTTGATGGACTACAATTCCCATGATCCCTGGCTGGACTGGAGGACCACAAGCTCCCCATCCCTGCCCTAGAGCTAAATCATCTTCTTGAGAACCCAGCAAGAACTCATCTTTGGTGATCTCCCTCGTTCTACCCACTCAACAGACTGGACATGGTGCTTTAGCCCCTATTTCATATGCTTTATTGCGGCAATATTTCAGGCATTATTAAATTTGGATTTTCATTCTTGCTTTGGAATATGATTGTGGTCAAACGACATCGTAGCAAGAAGGATGGTATTAAAAGTTGTCTGAATGGAAGCTGTGAGAGAAGGACAGGTTGGCTGGCAGGGCAACAGAAATCTTTTTTCCAAATATTGCCTGTGTGGTTCCAAATATCTTCATACAGCAGCTGCACATTTGCTTTGTGTTTTCTTTTTTAAGAAACAGAATGTTTGAATTCTCATTTTGTGTGTGCTAAATATCAGTTTATGCCACACTGCAGATTTGGGAAACGATTTCTAGCCCGTGGGCTGGATGGCTATTTTCCCAAACCATTAGGTTCCCCACAGTTCCTTTTGACAGGTAGGTAGGGTCACCATCTGTCAGTCACCTGGTGCTACCACAAGACCAGCCCCCTCAAATATTTTACTGGGGTGCGTGTGAAGGGACCTGGGACCCTAGGAATTGGCACTTATGGAACAAGCTTACAGCTGTGGTTTGAAGCAACTGCAACAACCCCGTTCTCTAGATGTTCTGACGTTCCATTGAAGAACGGGTGGGAGTACCCTGCTTATCTTTTCGGGAGAAGAGGACTTCAATACTGCGAGGCACCTCACATGCAACACAGTGGAGATGCTGTTTTTAGGCCTGGGCTATGTATCAACCCATTGTCCAGGACTGGTTTGAGGGCTAGAGAACGATGGCACCTTCACCCAGAGGTTTATTTTCTAGCCTTAGTTTCCTTCTCCAACTGCCTCCTTCCTCCCTGAGCCGGGTGATGGCAGTGGGGAGAGCCGAAGCGGTTTCACATCAGCGCCACGTGGCGACGGGGCCAAATGACGCTCCTTCCTTTTCAACATCACAATGGATCTCAGCTGGTTTGAGCGTGGTGCTGACAGCGCCAAGGTTGCCGGTTCGATCCCCGAATGGATGATCCCCAGGGATCCTTGCAACTCTACAATTCTACGATCACTATGATCACTATGATCACATTATTTAGCTGGTGACACATTGCAATGTTGGAAAGTTGATATTGCCCAGCCCTAGCTGCTTCCATGGCCAATCATGGAGATTTTTAGCATTTTTCTATACAAGTCTACTCCAGTGAATTCTAGGGACTTCGGACTAGGTCTCCCAACCACCAGAGTTTTAATGACACAAGATATATCGCAATAAATATCGTCAGCAGGAAAAACACAGGCACAAAACAAAGCTGCGCTTTTGTTTCTGTTGGGTGGGGATGTCTGTGTCCCAAGACAGGTAAAAATAGCTTTGAGAAGCATTCCTCTCTCAAGAACAAGTCGGGTAAACAAGCAGACGGCTTTGGGCAGCAAATTGCTGGAAGCAAATGCTTTGGAGCAGTTAATTCTCAAGTGCAGCAGTCAAGTCCCGGCTCTGCTATGAATGGGACTGAGCAAACGGTCAGAAAACGCATCTGTTGTAAAGGTTTTTTAAAAAGAAGAAGAAGAAGAAAAGAAACAATCGTGGGAGCCTATCAGAGCAGAGATGCACAAGGTAAAGGTCAAGCCAGCACCTTTTTCAGAAGAACACTGACACTAAGTGGCAGCACACCTGAGGTTCTCAAATGCATGGGGGGGGGAAGGCTAAGTGCCAACCCAAAATTAAATACATAGATGACCATTCGGAGTGGGCATCTCCTAGTTGCCAAGGCAGGAAGAACAGCAGTCAATTTCACAGGACTGCACATCTATCTGCACATTTTAAGCAAGCAAGATTCAGCGCACTAACATTCAAATGCCCATGACAGGTGAAGCAGCCCCGTGTGTGCTCCATAGAGCTGGACTTGAACCGGGAGCTTCAGCTGACACTCGGAGCCATTTCTGCTCTGGGCAATTGAGTCCCCATCATTCATGCACACGACCGTGTCGACTTCAGCTCCCCCCTGAAGCGCTCGACAAAGCAAGCGCTTTCTGCGGGGCAGACGCGTGTCCGTCGAGCAAAAGCGACGGGGAGATGAGCCCAGGATCCCCGAGAGATCCTTGAGCCCACGACCGGCCGAGGGTCCCTCGAAGAGGGGCTGAAATAAAGGGGGAGAGCTCCCTCCTGGCAGCAGCAGAACATGGACTCACTCTGGCCGTCGAGGCGGAAGAGGGACTCCCTCTGGGCGGCGTCGCTGCCGCTTCTTCTCCGCCGCTCCGGAGGCTCCTCGCCGGGGAAGCGGCGCTCCTGGGCGCCGGGAGAGAAGGCGTCCAGCACGGCGTCGAACTCGCGCAGCTCCTCCGCCAGGTCGCCCGGAGCCCCGTCGAGAGAGCAGCGCGGGGGCCGCCTGGCCGAGACGCTGCCGTCGGCGGAAAGGCAGGGGCCGAGCTCCGCTGCTCCCCGACGCCCCGACGGCTCCAAGGCGCCCCAGGGCTGCTGCTCCTCCGGACGCTGCATGGCCGCCGGGCGGAGAGAGAGACGTCGAGCCAGAGGCGCCCAATTCCCCCTCCGACGGAGCCGCCCGGGAACCGCCGCCGTCGGGGAACGGGAGGCAGAGGCAGGGGCCGCCCACGGAGCCTGCTTCTTCCCCGCCCCGTCTCTCTCTTTGGGTCTCTCCGGCGGAGGGAGGCGGGAAGGCTCCCCGGGCCCCGCCCAGCGACGCCGGCTGCGAACCGCCCGACGGTCTTGGCGCGCGCAGGGCGGCGTACAAATGGAGATATCCGTGCGCGCGCGCCCGCAATTGCAATTATCACCGATTAAACCGCAGGGTGCTGTTTTGGTAAGTTTTCATTGGAGTAGCATATGCGCTGTATCGTGCGCGATTTCTCTTTTGCGCATTGCTCCCAATGTCTTCGGAATAAGAGCGTTTCTGCAAATGCAGAAGGAACACAGCTGCCAACTTACAGATTTGAAAATAAGGGACCAGCAGCCTCTAAAATAAGGGATCAGCAGCCAAAATAAGGGATTTTGGCTTGGCTTATACAGAAATCCGGCACTGATGGAGCCATGCTGCTTTGGCTGCCACTGACTGTGTTTTGCAGGAACTAGATGATCCTAAGGGTCTACAACTCCGACCAAAGAAGAGTGGCAGACAAAACTGATGAACGACGTCGAGATGGCAAAGCTTACAGGCAGAATTAGAAACCAGGAAGAGGACCTCTTTAATAAAGAAGGGGGAAAGTTTATAATTTATTGGAAAAGCCATTGCCAAGAGTTACATACATTGGTAGGATTGACAGAAAACTTGTAGTAAAAATTTGAACTATGGATGGACAAATGATTTATAAAAATAGAGTTATGAAAGGGATGCAGAAGGGGAAATCACTACATTAAGATGCTGCACTGGTTGGAGGGGATGCTAAGCAGCACGTCGGGGCTGCCGTCATCCTGGTGCAAGGAGTTCCATCGGCCCTTCCCCGCCCGAGGGGGGGGGAAGACTCTTGCCTGCAAGCCCAGTATGAGGTAGTTGCGGCGCCACGGTGGCCGCTGAAGCGCCGCCCTTCTGCGTCCCTCCCCATCCCAACCTCTTCCTCCTCCCTCAGGCCGTCTCCTCAGCCGCTGCCACGGCCACCTCTGGCGTCCCCTGGCAGCGCGGTGAAAGTCTTGCAAGAGAGGGGCTGCCTGCCCATTCGCCACCACCCGTCTCCTCACGACGCGCCCCTGAGGGGGAAAAGGGAGAGACGGAGATGCGGCAGCTCGTGCGCGCGCGCTCTCTCAAGGCGGAGGACCCCGAGCCGCCGCTTCCCTCCCGAAGCGGGCGAGCATGAAACCCGGGAAATTTAAGAGACATCATCAATCTGGGACAGCAGCGGGACACGGCGCTGGGATAAGGGAGTTTCCCACCAAATAAGGGACGGTTGACAGCTATGAGAAGGAAGGCAGGTTACAAGGAGGGGCCCATCAAAGTGTTTTGCCTCCATGCCCAAGAGGTCCGATGGCTCTGCCCCCCCCCCCATGGAGCCGCTCTGAACAGTGAGCATGAGAGTGCACAGCCGCACCTCTGGAGGCTCCTTCCTGGGACTGAGCGGCCCTGTTGCCCAAGGCTCCTCCCTGCACCGCATGTTCCTGCCCCATGGATCTCCCTCCAGCTCTTCTGCTGAAAGCCAAGGTCAGGGGGCTGAGCTGAGGTGAGCAGGCATTAATGTGCAGTACTCCCTTCTTTAAAAAGTAGAGACATCACCTTGCCGACAAAGGTCCGTATAGTTAAAGCTATGGTTTTCCCAGTAGTGATGTATGGAAGTGAGAGCTGGACCAGAAAGAAGGCTGATCGCCGAAGAATTGATACTTTTGAATTATGGTGCTGGAGGAGACTCTTGAGAGTCCCATGAAGTGCAAGAAGATCAAACCTATCCATTCTGAAGGAAATCAGCCCTGAGTGCTCACTGGAAGGACAGATCCTGAAGCTGAGGCTCCAATACTTTGGCCACCTCATGAGAAGACTCCCTGGAAAAGACCCTGATGTTGGGAAAGATGGAGGGCACAAGGAGAAGGGGGCGACAGAGGACGAGATGGTTGGACAGTGTTCTCGAAGCTACCAGCATGAGTTTGACCAAACTGCGGGAGGCAGTGGAAGACAGGAGTGCCTGGCGTGCTCTGGTCCATGGGGTCACGAAGAGTCGGACACGACTAAACGACTAAACGACAACTCCCTTCTTTCAGTGCAAAGCAAACATGATCACCCCAAGAACCTTCCAGCCAAGAAATGATTGCTTTTATATTTACTTACTGTAAGCACCAAGAGACCTTTTATTCTATAGGATGCCATCAATAATAATAATAATAATAAATTTTTATTTATACCCCACCCTTCCCGGTTCAGAAAACCAGGCTCAGGGCAGCTAACAAATTTAAAACACTTAATTGATGCAACAAAAAACAGCTTAAAATACAGTATAAAATGTGAATAACAATAAATTCAGAATTAAAAAAACAATTTGGGGGGGAAATCCATCCAATAAACATTAGATGATCACCAGGGCGAGCTGGCTAAATGAGTCCTATTTGGGCCAGCGAGGAGACCAGGGGAGAATTAGCTGTGGGATCCCAGGGTGGGTAATCTTCATAAAAAGGGGAAGGGGATAAATAGATAAATAAGTCTGTGACTTAGCAGGTCACTCAAGAAATTGAGCTTTTACCAATCTGCTTCTATTACATATTACAAGAATCAGATAAATTCAAACCCAGAAGCTGCTACTGAATTTGGCAGTCTAACTTCACTACAATTGTGGATTTTGTAATGTGAACAGATGTCTAACAGCAGAACTTGAGCGGGAGCCAAGAAGGCATCTTAACGTAAGAAATCACAGAGGCATTAACATAATAATTAACAAATGTTAAAAGCTGTGTTTTGAATCGGTGACCTGGAAGTGAGCTCCTCAAAGCAATATAGAATATGTGTGTATGCATGCGTGCATTCGTTTTTAAAACTCATCTTTTGCCTTTCTTGCTTTCTTTAGAGACTTATTACATATTTCCTTTCTCACTATCTGAGATTCATGAATATCCCACAATGGATATTAGAATTAGTTAACACTGAAACCCAGTGTTCTGCACATAGGCGCCGACTCCATGGGGCTTGAGGGGGCCCGAGCCCCCTCAAAAATTCGTTTGGGGGGGCTCCGCCCCCCCAATAATCTCCGGCGCCCCTCCAGCAGAGCGCCATCGCCGCCCCTCCCCCAGCCCAAAATGCACAGGGAGGGGCGGGCTGCATGCCTCCTGCCCTCCCTCCCGAGCAAAAGCTCCACCCAATTTCCTTTGGAGCTGATTAATAGGCGCAGCACGCTCTCCCCTATTCGCTCACGAGGAGGCGGCGCCACTTTATTTGCATATTCATGAGCTTATTTATTATTCATGAGCTTTCCCGGGCCCCCCCAATATTTTTTATAAGTCCGCGTCCCTGGTTCTGCATTTGGATCTGAAAGAGGAGCTAAATTAAACCAGTGCAGCAGGAGGTTGTGTGAACGGCCCTGAGACCTTTGGGTATAGGGTGGTATATACCGTATTTTTCGCCCTATAGGACGCACTTTTCCCCCTCCAGAAATGAAGGGGAAATCTGTGTGCATCCTATGGGGCGAACGCAGGCTTTCGCTGAAGCCTGGAGAGCGAGAGGGGTCGGTACGCACCGACCCCTCTCGCTCTCCAGGCTTCAGGAAGCTGTCCACAAGCCGTGGGAGAGCTGCCTGCACCCCGAAGCTCTCCCACCTCTTGCGAAGACCTGCTTTGGAGGCTGGTGATGGGGAGAAGCGCACTTCCCCCCATCGCCAGCCCCACAAGCTCGGGGGACAGCGGGGAGGCGGAGCACCGCCATCCCGCTATTCCCCAACCTGCTTTGGAGGCTGGCGATGGGGAGAAGCGCACTTCTCCCCATCGCCAGCCCCACAAGCTCGGGGGACAGTGGGGAGGCGGAGCGCGCCTTCCCGCTGTTCCCCGACCTGGTTCTTCCAGCCCTGCACCTGGGGGGGAAATAATTTTTTTCCTCTTTATTTCCCCCCCAAAAAACTAGGTGCGTCCTATGGGGCGAAAAATGCGGTAAATTCAATCAATCAATCAATCAGTCTTCCAAGTCTCTCCAATGTTTAGCAAGGGTGAAACAAGTGTCCATCAACCAACAAGGCTTGTTCTTCAGGTTCTTATTGTTGTTGACACACGTTTACTAATGGGAGATGCGGATCTTTCCTAATAACCTGATGGGTAAACTCTGCCTTAGAAAACCATTGCTGACAGACAAGGCCATCACATGGTGGTGGTAAGTTCTGACCTACTAGAAACCCCCTCCAGGTCAACATGTGGCTCGAAAATTCCACAGCTCAGTGGTAATGGTCAGACTAATGGTCTGATTTGGTCTAAGGCAGCATCCTGTGGTCATCATTTTCAAAGTTTTTTTTTAAAAAAATTCATGACCACAGCCCCATAAACATTCACTATATATAGAAACACAAAACCAGAGCCAATGTGTACAAAATAATTTATTACAGCATTACATCAGTTGGCATTATTTTACAGTGAATTTTTCATTCAACTATTGATTCTAAACAGATGACAGAAGAGACTGTCTTCAAGATAACTGTCTGTCTTGGTAAAACTTCCCTTCTTGGATTTTGCATAGGGCCTAAGTAATATTACTTAAATATTTACATTAACCATTAAAAGGAAATAAACTGGTTCGATTATTTTTCAGAAAATGGATTTTCTGTACAAGCCAGGGTGTATTTTAAGTTTGGACAGCAGTTTATATAAAGTTGTCATGAATAGCCATTGAAGTAAAACATTTAAGATGGTTGACTTAGAACTTTGATATGTTGTAGACGTAATCCATTTGGATTAATGCACCAAAATACAAAGAAAAATATCAACTGTGATTTGTAGACAAACTAATTGTGCTCATTTAAATTTGTTAAAGTAAATATTAACCACTAATTGCTTTATAGCACTTAAATCAATACTTCAGCAAAAACTGAAGTTCATTTCTTGTGAGTTTTAACAGAGCTCAACATCATATTTAAACATAACTTATTATCTGGGATTGGCCACATTCTATGTTGTTGTACCCTCCCCCCACAAAAAAGTGGAATAATATTTCAAAATTTGTAAGTGGTGAAGAAACAAGTATCTAAACAGTAATAGCGGGTATTCAATAGTTCAAAAATATTTAATAAACAGTTCAAACTAATAGTTACGAGAAAAAGGAGGTTATAGCTTTTTTAAAAAAAGCATACCAATTTAAAAACACAAATAAGCTCTCCGAATTAAGCAGTTTCCATAAAATGCTTTAAATAAACAGAAAACTGCCATCACCCATAATTAGGATTTGTGCTTTGAAAGAAACAAATAAAAAAGCTGAAAACAATGGACAAGTATGATAACCCTTTTAAGTTGCCAAGTTTGCTAATCCAATAGGTTTTATAAGAAGTGGCTGTATTTATTTGAATATGTAACAGCATTCATGTGAATGGTCAATCTCTTGCGTCCATGATTTTGGATAAAAAGATCCATAACTGTACAAATATAAACATAACCAGTATTATGCAGAGATAGATGTCTACATAAATATCAGCAGCTCCTGTTGAGAGAAATGAGCTCATAGCACAGGACATTTTCATTCAACTGCCTGTTTGAATTTTTCCGATGTGTTCGGAAGTATAAACCCTGAACTGTGTTCAACCAGTCTGGAAGAGAGCACAAATCCCATTGCTCGGCTTTAAATTTCATTGGACAGCACATTGTGATGAATGGCTGTATGATTGATCGATGCAAAGCTACCATCGTCTTCCTTCGTGGGAGAGACAAATGCAGCTGCTAAAGGAAAGAGTTTGTGGCAGGCCAGGCGATAGTCATCACTCTGGGTGGGGCTGGATCCAAAGCTGCCATCGAGTAAGGACTCCAAAACTGTTGTTAAAGTCTGAAGATAGAAAAAAAAGATTATTTTTAAGCTGGGGTGTCTTCCACAAAATAATCCCAACAGAGACACCCCTCCCTATTAGCCCCTCTCTCAAGTGTAGGGCTGCTCTACTAGAAAAATTAACTAATAAACTGAAACTGACACGGGGACAAACAGAAGAAGACGCCTTCACCCCGGTATGGCTCCCCTTTATCACATACACAGCCCAACAGGACAATGACAATAATCCACCAACGGCATACAAATCAATATGGCTAACCTGATCCAAAACACCCACCCACCCCACTCACACATGAAAACAAAGATCACCACAGCCAACCCCAAACGAATAACCACACCCTAGGCCAACCCCAACCTCTCTCACCACCAAAGGAACACAAGTGAACAACACAAACACGCTGACACCAAACTCTACATACATTAAGCATAATAGAAACACCGCTACCCGACCCCACCCCATCCATCTCCCCTCCCTCCACCCCCCTTTCATTTTTTTTCTTTTCTTTTTTTTTCTTCTCCCCCTAATGCCTCAACAAATGAAACGGATTTGTAAAAATGTTACATGAGAAAAAAAAAATACGAGGCATTACACTTACACTGTAAAACAAGAAAACCCTTAATAAACTATTTTTTTAAAAAAAGGGGTAGGGCTGCTGCTGCGATCTTTTTTCTTTTCCACTGGAAGTCAAAATACTTTTTTCTTCCATGTGTTATCCTCTAATAGGTAAGGTAAAGGATCCCTGGACGGTTCAGTCCAAGGAGACTATGGGGTTGCGACACTCATCTGCCTTTCAGGCTGAAGGAGCCAGCGTTTGTCCACAGACAGTTTTCCAGGTAACGTGGCCAGCAGGACTAAACCGCTTCTGGTGCAACGGGACACCGTGACGGAAACCAGAGCGCATGGAAACGCCGTTTACCTTCCTGTTTATCCTCTAATACAGGAATGGGGAAGCTTCAGCTAAACTACAACTCCCATAAGCACTAGCAAGCATGGCCAATGACCAGGGGGGATGGGAGTTGCAGCACAACATAAGAAGGGCTAAAGCAGTGGTCAGCAAAGTTTTTTAGCAGGGGACCGGTCCACTGTCCCTCCGACCTTGTGGGGGGCCGGACTATATTTTTTGGGGGGAAATGAACCAATTCCTATGCCCCACAAATAACCCAGAGATGCATTTTAAATAAAAGCACAGATTCTACTCATGTAAAAACACCAGGCAGATCCCACAAATAACTCATAGATGCATTTTAAATAAAAGGACACATTCTACTCATGTAAAAACACGCTGATTCCCAAGACCGTCCGCGGGCCGGATTGAGAAGGCAATTGGGCTGGATCCGGCCCCTGGGCCATAGTTTGCCTACCCATGGGCTAAAGGTTCCCCACACCTGCTCATGTACATGTCACCTCATGCACTATTCACAACAGCATACTATCTAGAAACTTCAGTTTCACAATCGTAATAATGAATTACCTTCACATTTTTATCTGTCATCGTTTCATCTAGTTTAGTCGCAATGCCAATAGCTTTCTCTTGTCTTGAGTTGTCCAGGAAATACATCATCTTGGCACCTGAAAAAGAAGTGGCATAGATTTATGAGCAGGGAAACCATTCAAAGGGAGAACTTAATGATATGTTTTGCTTCAGTTTTCACTAACGCTAAACATGCATTGTGCACATGGTAAAAAAACAAAAAACAAACTTGGAAAAAATAGCAAGGCAAAAAGGACTGTCAAATCAGCAAATTACAAGAAAGCAAAGTCCACCATACTGGATTCAAAGAAGCTAAAGAAAGTAAATTAACCCATACAGTGGTACCTCAGGTTAAGTACTTAATTTGTTCTGGAGGTCTATTCTTAACCTGAAACTGTTCTTAACCTGAAGCACCACTTTAGCTAATGGGGCCTCCTGCTGCCACCGCGCCGCCAGAGCACAATTTCTGTTCTCATCCTGAAGCAAAGTTCTTAACCTGAAACACTATTTCTGGGTTAGCGGAGTCTGTAAGCTGAAGCGTATGTACCCTGAAGCGTATGTAACCCGAGGTACCACTGCACTGTCATCAAAGGCCACCCCATTTTATATCAATAGGTGCAGCCTAAGCTGCAGTAGGGCCAGAGAGAAGCCAGCAAAATATGACCTCAATTTTTCTGAGGTTGTGGGAGGGAAAAAAACCTTACTTCACTCAGAACTGGGTATCTTGACTTCAAATTCTTACTGCAACCATTATACATTGAACTCCACTAAGTCTAAATTAAAGGCGAACCATGACACAAAATCTGAATATATTTTTTATTTGCCACAGGTACTAAAGCAATTAATGAAGACAAGAGAAAATTAAGTTCAATTATCCACAGTTACCTCATTAAAGTAATTAAAGTAATTTAGCTTTGTAATTTGGCTGTGTATTTAACAATAAACATGACTTTTAAAGGGCAGCAAATGTAGCACGATCCATGCTAACGACCTGAAATTGTGAGTTACGGTTCGGAAGCCACTAAGAATAGACACCACACAAAAGAAAAAAGATAATAGAGTAAGAAAATCCCATGGGAAAGACCTGATGAAGTAATGGGGGAAGGCATTCTATTAATAGAAGACAATGGGGACGACAGAGATGGAAATCCTCAGCCCATAAAGTCTGGTGGTAGACTAAACACATATATAAAACTGCAAAATGACGAAGACAACAATTAGCAATGTTTTTTCAAGTTCTCACAGTCTTCATTTAGGCCAGGCATGGCCAAACTTGGCCCTCCAGATGTTTTGGGACTACAATTCCCATCATCCCTGACCACTGGTCCTGTTAGCTAGGGATGATGGGAGTTGTAGTACCAAAACATCTGGAGGGCCAAGTTTGGCCATGCCTGATTTAGACTTTCCTTCCTTCTGAACGTGGAAGTGATAATGCTAGGAATCATTTAATGAAACTGAACAGCACCACATTCCGGACGGTGGAAGGGCTGCTTCACCCAAGTTATGGAGTTCATTGCCATCAGCTGGAGTGTTTGCCAAATTCTCCAATTCATGGAGAAGAAATGTACCATGGCTATTAGTCATACTGATTACATGGGACCTCCATGTTCAGAGGTACTCTGCCTCTGAATACTAATGGCTGTGGAGCAACAGCAGACGGGAGATACCGTATTTTTCACTGCATACGGCGCACCGGACCATAGGGCGCACCTAGTTTTTAGGGGGGGGGGAATAAAGAAAAAATAATTTATTTCCCCCCCAGCCCCCAGAACAGAACAAGATTGCACGCAACCTCGCCGCCACTCCCAGAGCTTGCGGGGGCTTCCCCCGACCCCAGCCCCCAGAACAGGCTGCTATCCGCAAGCCTTCGGAGTCCAAAGGCTTGCGGATAGCTGCCTGAAGCCCGGGCAGTGCAGCGGGAGTTGGCGCTGCGCTCCCCGGGCTTCAGGCTGCTATCTGTGAAAGCCTGCATTCGCTCCATAGGATGCACACACATTTCCCCTTCATTTTTGGAGGGGGAAAGTGCGTCCTGTAGTGCGAAAAATACAGTACCCCCTCCACCGTCCTGCGAAAACCCCTTAATCCCAATTTTATTTTATTCTTTGGTAGATTTGCTGAAAGAAAAAGACAAACCAATGCATAAATTTTAGAAAGGGGCAAGATTAGACACAGACACACAAAGCATTGTTTTAAAAAACCAAGACTCCTTCCTTTCTGTGAAATCTCGCGAGAGGAGCACTCTTTTCCTTTATTTCCTTGGAGCTGCCAAGATGCCTTCAAGGCTGAGGAAGACCAGGAAACTGTGAGGTCACGTCAGCCACAGCCATGGTTGTATTGGTAAGCATAGAAAGCATCCTGGAGGACGTGGTAATGCTGGAGGAGGTCTGCACCACCACAAGAATTAACTTTGATAGATACCATCCTGGTTATTTTGGAAAGGATGACCACTTGAAGAAAAACCAGCACTTCCATCCTACAGTCTGCCTGGAAAAACTGTGGACGCTTTTTAGTGAGCAGACAAGGCTCAAGTATGTAAAAAATCTGGCTGGATTATCACCTGTAATTGATGTTGTGCGCTCAGGTTATTATACAGTCCTGGGCAAGGGGAAACTGCCCAAACAGCCTGTAGTTGCAAAAGCAAAGTTCTTCAGCAGAAAAGCAGAAGAAAAAATAAAAGAAGTTGGTGGAGCTTGTGTGCGTAGTAGTCTCTATGTGCTCACATTTAACTAAACATCATTTCAGCTTAAAAAAGAAAAATCAAGACTCCTTGCACTCTGTTCCGCTTCCCCTTTCTTCCTGCCCAGGGCGGCCCTGCCCTCTGAGCCGGTGCGTCACAAAAGACTGGGTGGGCCCCACAGCCCCTCCTCCTTGCCTGCTCTCCAGCAGCCACTTTGAGCAGCCCAAGGGATGAGGCTAGCACCAGCGACCAGAGAGAGGCAATGGGATGCTCCCTTGCAGCGTCGCAGCTCAGGCCAAGCACCACCTCCTCCTCCCTAAGTTTGGCAGCAGCAGCATAGGCAGAGGACAGGGACATTCTGGGATCAAATAAAAACCCCGGAATGGCTTTCGTGATTTCAGCACTGTCCCTGGAAAATAGGGACACTTGGAGGGTATGGAGTGAATAAACCAGGAAGTCTCTAATGAGCCAGAGCATCTGGTTTTATCTGAACGATTGTCACCAGCTTTAGTGAGGACCTTAAAGAACTTGAATTCATGGTGACTGACCAACTTCAAGCTGCCTTCAAGCCTTCTTAGGAGCCTCCCAGAGGTTTATGGTTGTCAGTGAGGAGAATTCACCCCTCCCATATCCAAGAATCTGCTGATGTTCTCTGCTGATTCTTCAGAGAGGAGGGGCGGTTTCTGCTCTCTACTTATTCCGCTCCAGCCTCACATCAAAGTGTCGGAGAGAGAGAGACTGAGTGTTAGAGAGAGATCATGTGTATAGATAAGGTTGCTGCTAAGAGCAGCTGCAGACACTCAGTGCAGTTCAGCATTTTTCACTTAGACCTCATTTAGCTCTGTATATAGTTGTGTATTATAGTTGTAGATAGAATAAAGAAGATATTCTACAGAGCTGCTCTCTGAGTCGTTTATGCTCTGCTATACTCTGCTGTGCGACGACTGTCTTCTTGTGGGAGTGAATCCGGTGCTCACAACTCTAAGCTGTGAGTCCACAGCACTTTGACCTGTTCCTGTGCAGAAGGTGGTCTCTGGAAGTGCTACCCAGCTCGCCTAGCCCAGTCGGGGCTGAGTGGATGAGTCCAGTTGGTGACACTGGCTCAAGGGCGATGCTGACAGTCAGGGGCAGAGTCCTGGGCTAGATGGACCTTTGGTCTGTGGAGCAGGGCTCTTCTCCTGAACCTGCTTCAAGTCCTACAATAAAACACAGGTTTGGCATAATGTCATCCTTTAAAACACAAATAAACCAACCTGACAGCAGATGCCGTATGGAGGTAGAATTGCGTCTGAGAAATTCTTCATTGAAACTTTCCAAATCTTTACTAATAAAAATCTTCTGCATTTCTTGGGTTAGGACTTTGTTCACAATTTCTGGCAGATTACTATGATCAGACACTAAAAAAGTAAAAAAAAGAAGAAGCACATAGTTGTTACCATCTGACAAGACTGTACCTCAGTGTTCCAAGCACAGTTTTATAGCATGCAAACAGCAGATTTATCTTATACTTACCACATTTGGAGAATTTAATTAAACATTCATGTAGCCACGGGTTATTACTGTCAATAGCAAAAGCTCTTTTAACCGACTGCAACATTAAGAGAAACTTTCCTGCATAAATACAAGAATAAAGAACTAGTTTTTATTATGTTATTTACATTTGAATAATCTGTTTGTATTGCTGTGTTACAACCATTCTGCACACATATGCTCACTCATGTGTCACATGCAAAATAAAGGAGACCTCGTATTATTTATATATGCACCTGACAGCTTATGAACAAGGCAAGGCCAGGCCCCTGCCCTATGGGGCTGCCAGGAGCTGAAGTCAAATGTGGGTCAGCAATAAAAAAAACAGAGAAGCCCCAAAAGCGCAGGCCTAGTGGTCCGAGTGACTCTTCCTAGTAGGTCTTGCCCGAATGAGGCAGTTGCGAAGACTGAAGGTCCCACTGCTCTCCAAGGCCTTTCCCAAGCAGTCACAGACTGTCTCTGTGCACAACCAACCTCTGTTTTGCTCTTCATTTCTCTGCGTGTTCTAGATGACCAGGGGGAGAGAAGTGGTTGCAGCAGGACGGGGAGACTCCCTGGCTTCTTCAGGAACCTGTCTCCCCTCTGCCTCTTGACCATCTTCTCCAGCCTCTGCTTCAGCCTCAGAGTCTGAGCTGTTCTCTGCCACAGCTTCTTCCTGCTCACTAAACCCTGTTACTACTTCTTCTGACACCACCTCCTCCCAAATCTGCTCCTTCTTCTCCCTCTGACCTCTCATTGCCATTCCACCACCAGTCACCTGGCTCCTCTGCGCCCAGCCAGCCCATGACATGGGCTTACAACCAAGAAACAGGCCTGAGGCAGACAAGAGAGAAGGGGCAGGTGGATGGAGGCAGGGATAGATGGGCTGAATGTGAAGTTATTTAAGTTATAGTAGGTTGTGAGAATGATGGCGGTGTAGCAAAAGCATCACAGAAAGGGTGAGGAGGAGGATTTGAATGAAATAGGGGAGATGGTCGATGGGGAGGAAGTTTCAGGCGTAAGTGGCAGCAAATAAGAAATGGTGTTGTTTGAGGTGGCAGGAGACCTTTGGACACCCGAGGATTGTGGAGCTGGACCAATGAAACCAAAATACAGGAATATGTTGGTATATAAAAATGGAGAGAAAAGGGGGTGAGGGGCAAGGGCTTGTACAGAATCTGGGAGCAAAAAGGTTGACAGTGCAGGGATTTAAGGACAGGCATTATGTGCAGAGAGCAATAAGAAAACTGAATAATTTGAGCAGCAGTGCCGGATAGTTGTGACCAAGGTGAGACAATGGAAAACCCAGTAAGTCAAGCCCAGAGATGATTAGTGTTTTTGCAGACAGATAACCTGAAAACTAATAATGGATAAATCTACACATGTAACTATTACAAAATCATCCTGTTATTTCACAATCCTGTTTCACAATTACATATACTTTACCTTTCCTTAAATAAATGTCAAATGCTAAAAGATGTGTGTCTATGTTATCGGCCGCAAGATTCTTAAGTGGTATAAGGAACTTAATTGCTTCCTCTAATGGATTGCCAACCTGCCAAAAGAAATTCAGGTTAGTTATAAACTGAAGTCATACCAAAAAAGTCTCTAAAGATCAAGCTTGCAATAATCTTGCTGATATATTTTGGCACACAATGTATTTAATAGTGTTTATCATAGTTACCCGGCTCTTCCAAAAGACAGCTAGTCAACGAAACAGGTTGAGTTGTATAAATACCGTATTTTTTGCTCTATAAGACTCACTTTTCCCCTCCTCAAAAGTAAGGGGAAATGTGTGTGCGTCTTATGGGGCGAATGCAGGCTGTGCAGCTATCCCAGAAGCCAGAACAGCAAGAGGGATTGCTGCTTTCACTGCGCAGCGATCCCTCTTGCTGTTCTGGCTTCTGGGATTCAGAATATTTTTTTTCTTGTTTTCCTCCTCCAAAAACTAGGTGCGTCTTATGGTCTGGTGCGTCTTATAGAGCGAAAAATACGGTACTTAAGAAGGAGCTTGGCATCTTGGACGTAACTTCGAGCCATCCCAACAACTACAATATGTTACTTTAGGAATTACAAAATGCCCAACAGCTGTTCATTTTCTCCCTGGGATCCACCCTATAGAGGGAAACTGAAAGCAAGTTTCAGGTTAACAGGCTCCCTGCTCTGTCATCATCACTGGGCAGAACACTTAATGCCCTACCTAAATAACCCCATTGTTATTCAGACAGGGGATTTCCCAATGTGACTGTTCACTTCTCCTGTAGCAAGGAAGATGGGACAAAGTTGAGGGGACAAATGTATGACCACAAGGCCTACTCTTGAGAACAACACTCAATAGATGAAACACAGGAAGGAATTAAAAGCAACTCTGCTGAACAGACATAATGATACCAAGAAAGGTTTGGAACAGGAGCCCAGTGGAAGAGAATTATGTGAGCAAAACCAAGTTTCACAGAACTCTTAGAAGTTCAGAAGCAAAGCAGCAAAATGCTTGCTTTCATCTTGATGCCCCTGTTCCAGCATGTACAACGTGTCTGTCATCTGATCAGTCATGTACATCCCCCAGAATGTGCCTGATCAGGTGGCACATTCGAGACAAAGCGGCACATGTGAATCCAAGATTGTGAACATGATATGTGCAGTCTACATGCCAGGCCAGTGAGTTAAACTGACCCCAACCTTCCTGTAAATATTTTGGTTTGATATGGCACAGTGAAGAAGGTTTTGAATATGCGATGATTAACAAATATAGAAAAGGAGAAACAAATCTACCCTTTCCAGTTTTTCAGGAACTAATTCTTCCTTGGGACCACTGGTTTCTTCCTCTTCCTCCTCTCGCTTCTTCTTTTGGTTCTTCTGCTGCCTCTCTCGCTCTGCATGCTTTCTTTCCTCTTCCAGTTTAGCTTTCTTCTGTGCTCGTCTTTGCTTACTAAGCATTTTCTTAAGCTCTTTGGCCGAAAGGTTTTCTACAACAGGAGATTTACAAACCATACGAAATAATAAATTTTAATAAACTGGGTTTATTAAAAAATATACAGCGTCGTATTTAAATATCACTTCATTAAATGCCTCTACAATACAAAAACACAAAATAAACAAATAAAAGAAGTACGGTAACTCTTAATTTATTGTTTAAATAAACCTTCAGGATTCTTAAAAGCTAGCTATAAGCACTCCAGTACACACCATGTGCTTCAGGTTCAGAAACTTTTTGGCAAGGTCCCTCATCAAAATTTCTCAAGAAAACGTAGCAATTTTGGGATAAGAGGTAGATATGCTATGGTTAAAAGATAGGAAGCAGACTGTAGGAATAAACTGCAATTTGCACAATGGAGAAAAGTGTGAACTCCTATAAATTTATATAGGTCTCAGCCTGTGTATGCACAGAAACACCAGTGAGTTAAGAGAGCTATATTTTCTGACAGGGAAGCAAACAGAAGCATCAGTGAGTTAAGAGAGCTATATTTTCTGACAGGGAAGCAAACAGAAGCATCAAACGTGAACGCTTTTGCTGTTTGAAGCAACAACAGATTTTCCTTTCTGCCGTGATCTAAATGACACGTGGTTCTGTGAACACCAGAGGAAAGCGTTTTGTTGTAGCACGTTTCAGTTAAGGGCTAAAGTTCTACCATCACCTTTCCTTCAACTGCACAACAAAGGATGAAAACAAAGGGCCTTCTCATTCAAGTGGCAAGGCTTTGTCTGATACATACCACTTTAGACAGCAGGATTTGGCTCACATGACCAAATGTCCCTCCTTTTATTTTTTTATTTTTTTAGAGAAAAGGAACATATATATTGTGAACCCCTGTCTGTCGTCTGAAGAGGTGTAGTCTAGATACAGTTTTATCAACTCAGAGAAAATGAGGCCAAGTGTAAAAGCCACAACAGAGGAGGCCCCGAACAGCAGCTTGATAGTCTGACCGCAATGTCAAAAGATGCTTTTCCAATTAACAAGACTTTAGCAGTAACTTAACATACAAATCAGACTTTTGTCTGCAATCACTTAAGAAAACTAAAATGATGGAAAGAAAGAGTCCCCACACCAGAGAGGAATGACAAACCAAGCTGTTACCGACTACGCCGAAATGGCAAAACTGACCGGAAAGCTCAATGATCAAGAAGAGAAAAACTTCAAGAAAGAATGGGAAAAAATTATAATTTACTTAGGAGACAGTGTAAGCTGATGAAAACATTAGCAGGATTTTAATCTCACTTGTAATGTAACAAATACTATGGATAATATGGATAGGTACAAAATATAGACTATGAAATAATATGCCGTTGAAAATGTTGACAATAGGCCCCATGGAGGGGATGGGGGGGTCTTGAGATTCAGAGAAATCTCTCTATATGGATATGTATTTGGTTTTGTTATAAATTTATATTTGTAAAATCAAATAAAAACAATTTCAAAACAACAATAACCCTAAAATGAAGATTTTCAACCATCTAAATTCTGTGCTGGATCAGGGTCCACCAACTTGGTGCCTGCAGCAGCCAACAGAACAGATTTAGGTGTGTTCAACGGTTGTGGTGTATGCATGGCAATCAGTTTTCCCAGGTTTCAAATGTGTATGTGGGCACAAAAAGGCTGGCAATCCCTGTTTTAAATTCTTAATACTGCACTGATCGTTAAGCTATTTTTATATCCAGTTCCGCAGATGATTCTCCCCAGCACTGTATAAAATAAGTTTCCTTTACATATACCACCACATTTTCAGCAGTGAACACTTCCGTACAAAGCTTTTTATACTCACACTATCTTAATTATTGCTTCAATACCTGAATTTACTTCTTGTTCTTTGCTTTCATTGGCTAGCGGATTATCATATAGCTTCAGGTAGATTTCAATTGCTGAGCGAGCCGCCTTGAAGTAGAAGGCATGTTGCCTGAGAACGTCTTCCAACCTCAAGAGGTCCACGTAGGCACGGAGTGTCATCTTTCTCATGCAGTAGGTGTGGAAGTCAAATTGATCATCTGTTATCTCAAAAAAGTGCTTTAAAAAAAAAGAAAAGAGGATACTATTTTTTATGATGCAGTTTACTAGATGGACAAATAAGGCAGGTGTGCGTACAGCTTTTTCGAAATAAGTGTTTCGGCAACTTTAAAGCAGATGGCGAGTTAACAGAGTTCATGTTGCTTATGAGAAGCGGTAGTCAGGAAAAAGCAATCTGTTTACCTACTTACCCTCTCCACTTCATGGCACTTTTTCAAGGCATCTCCATATTTCCCTAGTCTCTGAAAAGCTAAAGCGCATTCTGTTTGGAACCACATGCACTGCATTTCATTGAGATTCTCCATGGCAGAAGTTCCTTCCTGAAATAAATAAAAAAGTATTGTGTGGGATCAATAGTCGTTTAAATTTATATGTATATGTGTGATATCTATCTATCTGTCTATCCATCCACACACACACACACACACACAGCCCTATGATATCCTATAAGAATGCTTTAACAATAAATAACTGATACAATTCTTTGGATAATAATAATAATTAATAATAATTTATTATTTATACCCCGGCCATCTGGCTGAGTTTCCCCAGCCACTCTGGGTGGCTTCCAATCAAGTGTTAAAAACAATACAGCATTAAATATTAAAAACTTCCCTAAACAGGGCTGCCTTCAGATGTCTTTTAAAAAGAAGATAATTATTGATTTCTGGACTTTTCAATTATTGAGTGCAGGGATAGCAAATGTGGTGTTTTCAGATGTTGCAGAACCAAGCCACTCCCATAGCCCTGACTACCACAATCCATGGTCAGGCAGCGGGTGACAGGAGTTGTTCTCCAACAATACGTGGAGGGCATCATATTGGCTACCCCCACTCTTATAAGGTATCCTATACTTTACTCTTTTCCAAACGCTTTACCTAATGAATACTTTTTCTATTCAGCTAAGGGAGAAGTCTGTGAGAAGGGCAGTATTTCATTCATAGAGAAACGAGAATGCGGGCACTTTCACTGTAAGAGAGGCAGAGATAAGGGAGGTGTTCTTAAGAAGATCAGACAATATTCCTCATGTAGTAGCATTTCAAAGATATTTACAATGCAATTCTGCACATACAGTTCCAATAGGCCAGTCCCACTGAGTTAAACTGGGCTTACTCCAAGGTAAATGGGTACAGGATTGTAGCCTGCAGTCTATTTAATAATTTACAAAATTTAAACATAGTCTTCAGTAGTAACGATGCCTGTATTTCGTTCACCACCAAGTTAGCCTATGCATCTTAATGAAAAATGCTGACTTTTAGCTGGCTAGTCTATGGACATGGAATTTGCTCCCACTAAAACTTTCAGCCTCCTCATGAGTAATTCATTTACTGTGACAGGGTTACTCATGATGAAGCTGTTTCATACTGCAGTGGAATAGCTAAAATATATTTGAAGATTATGGGGGGCGGGGGGACAGAACTATTCTGTTCCTGGAAATTCATCAGTACTATTATCTTGACTAAATTAGAAGTTAGGTGAATGTTTCCTGCATAGATATATTCCTGCCATCATACAATTCTGCTACCAATGACTAATAATAATAATAATAATAATAATAATAATCTGAAACTGACAGAGGAAATTTTCAAAACGAATACGCAACCAACCTCTATTTAAAATATATCTCCTACCCGTGTGAACTTGGAACACATCTCTTCTGCATCCTTCACCATGTTTGCTCTCAGCATATACTTTGCACATTTGGAGTTGATGAATCTATCGGCTGTATCCAACGACTGCGCCTCATCCATCCATTTGGCAGCCTCCTTTAGGTTGCCTACATGCTATTGAGGGAAAGGGAAGAGTTTTATACTTAATTTTAAATGTCAGTAACAGGCATATTGTGTAAGCTCTGAGTACTGTAACGCGAACGTGCATCTCCCCTTTCCGAAACATTTGGCATGCAACAAATCACAGCCAATCTTATTATGCTTCACTGTGTGAAAGATATTGATCCAATGAAAACTAAAAAAAGAAGTTAACAGCAAAGGATCATGTTCAGACTTCAGTGCCTGTGTCAAGCTTCACAGGTCTGGCAAAATTATGTTAGCACTAAATATCTGAGTATGGAAGAAGCACAGAACCTTTACTAACTTTGAGTGAGAGCTGCTCACATTTTACATCGAAAACAAAAACCATTTCCATAGTCCAAGCCCACTATTTGCTTCCACAAAAAGACAATGGTCACAAACATTTCATATGAACAATTTATTATGAATTACTTTTGTTTTTCCCTTTTCTGACTGCTGCAAGAGGCCATGGACAAAGGAGCGAGCACTAAGGCCTTCGTCATGCACATGTACATATAGATCCGACCGCAGCATGCTATCCAAGATCTGGGGTCTAGTATACGAATAATTTGGGGGTGGGGTGCAGGTAGACAGCATTGGAACACATATTATAGCTTGAGGTGGAAAAAGCCACTTTGATTAATAAGAAATACAGGGATAAGTGGATACATGTACAGGCCACACAGAAATTCACTGAGCGATATTCAGCTAAGAGTAGACTTGGTGAAATCATGTTCATTAATTTCAAGTTTCACTCTGGGTAAAACTTAACTGATTCTATGGAGATGGAGAAGGAAAGGGAAACAGAGGTGGAAAGAACTGCCACTGCTGCATAAGGAGAGGGAAGGGTGCTTGGGATTCAGCAGGGCATAATGGAGGCTTGGAGTGGACACAACAGGGCAAGTTCAAAATGCCGCTGCTGTGGGACTAGGCCTCAAGAGGAAGCCAGAAGAGTGAGAGAGGGAGGGAGGGAGGAGGGACTGAAATTGAAATGCTAAAATTTACCTGTTCCAGAAAGGGAGAAGTAGTAGCTTTCTTTTGGGCTTACATGGTAAAAAGGTAAAGGGACCCCTGACCATTAGGTCCAGTCGTGACCGACTCTGGGGTTGCGGCGCTCATCTCGCTTTATTGGCCGAGGGAGCAGGCGTACAGCTTCCGGGTCATGTGGCCAGCATGACTAAGCCGCTTCTGGCGAACCAGAGCAGCGCACGGAAACGCTGTTTACCTTCCCGCTAGAGCGGTACCTATTTATCTACTTGCACTTTGACATGCTTTTGAACTGCTAGGTTGGCAGGAGCAGGGACCGAGCAACAGGAGCTCACCCCGTCACGGGGATTCGAACCGCTGACCTTCTGATCGGCAAGTCCTAGGCTCTGTGGTTTAACCCACAGCGGCACCCGCGTCCCTTGGGCTTACACGGTACCTGAGAGTTTAAGATAGGACTGGCTATTAGGGTTCTTTGGGCACCTTGGTTCTGATTATGAGTGGCCAGGAAGGTCGTTCTCCTACAAAAGCAGACTGAAAGCTGGGTTTTGCCCAAGCAAAACTCTTTCGGCGTTTTTAATTCTATGCTTGTGATTTCTAGATGTTTTGGTTTTGCACTTAACATTACTTTAGGTGCTTCACTGAAAACATAGTGCATTGTTTTCCTTTGATCTGGTAAGAGTGGTTCTGTTCTTATCTCAACATAAAATGTCTACCAGCTCCTATGAAAAGGATATACATTGATTACATATTCCATTTTGATACATTTATAATACAATATTACCTTATAAATTTTTGCTTTCAGATAGAACAACTCTATTAGTGTTGGCGTACTTGCAACGGCAGAATTAATGTATTCCAAGGCCAGGGAAAACTGACCCAGTTTGTCAAAGTGCTGTGCAAGGAAATAGCGAACCCAAAGCAGAGTTGTCGGTGGCTCTTGATCGCTGTTTTCTGCAATGATACATACGTGTCAGCAAATTTGGCAAGAAATTAAAATGCTTACTTATTATTACGTCTGTTTGGAGGTCTACCAGCACAGCTAAAATAAGGATTAAAGGCTGCATTTTAGCTACAATTCATGAATAATGAAACCTACCATATGGACTGAACAAGTCGCAGGTTTTCAAAGAAGCTTCGTAACCAGTAACAAGCTCTTGGATCGTAGAAACCTATGAAAACATAGTTGCCAAGTTTATTTTAACTTGATTTTTTCTTTAAATCACATTGCATTCAATTTGATATATTATCCAGATACAGCTAATCATGCCAAATGAATAGTGCTAATATTTCTAACTAACTTAAAACAATACTAAAATCTGCATAATACATGATGTTTTGCAAAACAAATAATCCGCACCTAGTTTATTCCCAGAACAAAATTGGAACATGTAAACGCTAGTGGCATCAAACCATTGATCTAATGGTATAACCAACACTGGATATCACCCATTATATCCAAAGCAGTGAGGATCCCTTTCCTTTCTCTTTACAATAAAGGTTAAGTGGTTGCCTATTCCCGCCCCCATTGTTTTTAAAACTGTTAACCCATCAGTATCTACTTTTGCTATCAGAGCACAAAAGAGATGGGGTTTCTTTGGGAAAGTGGGTGACGCTACATAAGAACAAACTGCTGGATCCCATCAGCAGGCTGGCCTGGTTCACAAATAACTCCAATCCATGGTCTGTTTAGCCATTCTAATTCAGAAGATTAACCATTGTTTGTTTTCTGGCAACAAGCTACAATGTGAAGCCATGGATACATAGAATCATAGAACGGTAGAGTTGGAAGGGACCGCGATTGTTGATGGATTATTTTAACCATGGCTTGGTGTTTCATCACAGCCCAGCATCTCTGCTTAACCATAGTTTGTCTGCCCCAGACCCTTCCAAAGCAACAGAGATATAAAAACAAACCACGCTTCAGAGAAACAAGATATGATTTGTCTGTGGCTTGTGGCTTATTGAACAACACAGGGTTAAAGCAACCATGGTTTAGTGTTATATACTAAAGCAGCCTCCATCTAGCCCAGCATTATGCTTACCCCAATTGCTAACCAGAGACCTGTGAGAAATCCATAGCTTAATGGCCCATTTCGTGTTTGAATTTATACAGATCAAGCGGGATGAGCAACCAAGTGTTGTAGAGTGGAATGCTTCTGTTTGGGGTGCCTATAAACCAGCAAGCCAGTCCTCTTCCAGAAAACTTCATTTCCCCCTCCCAGTTTTCTGTTCTCTACCCCTCACCTGGAAACAGACACTTAAAAAGAGTGCTCACTCCCCACTGGAATGTTTTTGGTCCCCCACTCCTTAGAGTTATTTTTTTTATTAAAGTTTTATTTTCAGATTTCTACAAACATCGGGTCTCCCCTGAACCTGCTGACACCTCCCCCTGCAGTGTGGACAACACCATTCTGGCAACATAAGGACCAGCATACGATTAGTATATTGGATAATGTGAGTGTCCATTTTCAGTAAGGAAGCTAATCATCACAGAATGCCCATAACCATTCCAACTGCTGTGTTGAAAGTCTGCCTTACACCATCTCAGAAATTCACCTGGCGGGGTGAGGGTCTGCTCATTTCAAAGTATCCGCATTTCAGATTCTTCCTGTCACTGCAAAGCTTAACACATTAAGGGGAGAAGAGTCTAACATGTTTTTGCGGTTTGGATTCAGCAAGCACAGTTTGGTCTAGGTGAACCTCCAAATCTCGTGGACAAGTGCACCACCCTGGTATCGGCAAGACTCATGAATGAAAGAGAAGCCTCCACAGAAACAGAGAGAGGTTGGTCACAAGGACATGGGATAGCATAGCACAGTCCTACTGAATCAGGGTGGCGCTGTGGGTAAAACCTCAGCGCCTAGGACTTGCCAATCGCATGGTCGGCGGTTCGAATCCCCGCGGCGGGGTGAGCTCCTGTCGTTCGGTCCCAGCTCCTGCCCACCTAGCAGTTCGAAAGCACTCTTAAGTGCAAGTAGATAAATAGGGACCACTTTATAGCGGGAAGGTAAACGGCGTTTCCGTGTGCGGCGCTGGTGCTGGCTCGCCAGCTGCAGCTTCGTCACGCTGGCCACGTGACCCGGAAGTGTCTTCGGACAGCGCCGGCTCACGGCCTCTAGAGCGAGATGAGCACGCAACCCTAGAGTCAGACACGACTGGCCCGTATGGGCAGGGGTACCTTTACCATTACCTTTTACTGAATCAAACTAAAAGGTCTTCCCTGCTGTGCTAGGGAAAACCTCACACTCTATCCAAACGCATGCATTTAATTCTGCTGGTGTGCGATGTGCTAAAGGGTCGACCTGCCATGAAGCATGGGGGGAATGTGGCTCATTTTGCATTCTGATTTGATATAAATAAGTAGCCAAGCCCTTTCTCCATAGGTCCCTACACAATATGCCTCTTCATTCTCATTCTCTCTCTCTCACGCACAGACAGGAGAAAAATACCATAACTCATTTCAGTGAGGATTGTGCATCCTTGCTAAGGGTATGCTCAATGGAATTTACTGACACTCAAAAGAGCACTGATAAGCTTGTTTTTGCTTTGCTTTTTAGAACATGATCCCTTTATGCGGTTAATCTAGTGCTCAAGGGGTGAAATGGAGATTGACAAGACTGAATCAATCATTGTCAACAGAATCAGAGATTGTAGGTTTATCTTTTTGAAGTATGTCCCTTGTTATCTCTGACAAATGAGGCAGACCCCTTGAAAAATACAGTGACACAGTGAACAGCTCAAGATCAAGAAAATGCACTGGAAACAACCTGAATTTTTGTTTGTGGGTGGCAACTTATCACATAAGAGTCACCTCCGAATCCTTGATTATGTGAACAAGCTCTTGCGGGACTCCGTTAATTTCATATCACTTGCACAGGAGCTGTGACTCAAATAAGGCCCCGTTCACAAGTGCACCTAGCATGGTATAATCCTCTGCTGCAAGGAAGCACATGGGAATATTGTAACCAGAGGGGAAAGGCCCATCTTGTGACTCTAGGGCTGATAGTCTGAGCTGGCAGGACCGGAAGGGAGTGAGGACTCAAAGGAAGGCAAGGGGGAGAGGCACCAAGCAAAATTAAGCAGATGTTAAGAAAAGGAGCCACCCAAGCTGCATGGGTGGACTCAGTAGGATGGAAAAAGTGAACTTTGGCTCCTCCTGACCCCCAGTAGCTTTTTCTCAATCCGTGAGGTTTGCAGAGAGGGATGGATTCCCAAGCTAGGCATAGCAAGGAGGAACACTGAGGAGCTTCTCCTAGCTGTTTAGGGTATACACAGCTGCCAAGCAGGCATGGAAAAGTGAAACATTACAGATCCCTGGTATGTCCCAAACAACCCCATACTCTTCTCAAGTTCTAGTTTCCCTTTCTGCAAGTCTCACTATATTCACTTCAGTTCCCGTTTCCTCGCTGTCCCTTCTTTCTCTTTGCGACTTTCTTTCCTTCTTCCTCTGTCTTCATTTTCTCCATTGCTGCTTTCTTCACTCACCTCTTCCCCATTCCGTACCCTCTGTCCTATTTTGCTTCTGCTGCCTCGCCCACCCCACAGCCAACAGTTGTTTGGCCTTCACAACCCCAATGCGGCTTGTGCTGCAAAGTGGGCAACTTTGCAGACCAGCCCCCCCACTTCCACAGTAACTCCCTGTCCTGCCCTGTCTATCTGAACACACTCGTGGAAATTTCATTTTTTCTTTCTTTCTTTCTTTCTTTCTTTCTTTCTTTCTTTCTTTCTTTCTTTCTTTCTGCTGCTACCTCCCATTTGTGTGGATGTGGTGCTGTTTTTGCTATAAAAAATGATGATACTCTCCTCCTGAAGACTGGAAGCAGAAGGTGGAATACAGTGCTACCTCGGGTTACATACACTTCAGGTTACATACGCTTCAGGTTACAGACTCCGCTAACCCAGAAATAGTGCTTCAGGTTAAGAACTTTGCTTCAGGATGAGAACAGAATGCAGCAGCAGCAGGAGGCCCCATTAGCTAAAGTGGTGCTTCAGGTTAAGAACAGTTTCAGGTTAAGTACGGACCTCCGGAACGAATTAAGTACTTAACCCGAGGTACTACTGTACAGGGTGTAATCTCACTATGCTAAAGTTTCTGCTTGTGCAAACGTTTCATCCTATCAGACAGAATAATTTTCTCCCTCTCTTCTGGCTGCGGAAGAGACTCTTTCTTCTGCAGATACCACAGCTTTCCTCAGGCCCCCATTATTTCCTATCAGGCACAAAGCCAGCCTTCCTACGAGGGCAAAAGAGAAGTCTTCAGGGGGAGTCAGCCTACCTTCCTGAGTACACTTTCTGAGACTTCTGCTGTCTCTTCCAGCCAGTCATTCCCTCATGCATTATTTCCTCACAGCCTCTCCATGTTTTAAGTTACTCAAAGAGGACACATGATGTTGAGCTTCAGTGGAATCAACACACCTGCAATACATTTGACGTAGACCTTGACGTTGACTTATTTTACAGTCCTCCCTTCGTATTTCACTCTGAAGGAGTGACTGCTAGAATTCTGAAGTGTGTTTGCGAAGCTTTTTTGCGACTGATACAATGAGCGGGAAATCAGTGCTATGCACAGCCCTCCGCCTCCAAGATGTGGCTTTCTAACTGATGCAAGGGCCAAGGAAGGGGCAAGCTCAAAAGACGAGCAAGCAGTCCTTCAGATGCTGAAGCCCTAGGGTGATTGCAGTAATCCAACCTGGAGATGCAGACATCTCCAGTGGCACAACTTACAAAGTTGTTATAAGACAATTGGGCTATGGGCATCCATGAGCAGGGCAGATAGAATAGCACCCATCTGCACAAACAACTACACAATGTATTTTATGTTATTAAAATAGACCAGGGAACACAACCTGTTCCATCTTCTACAGGTGACCTCCATTCACAAGCGGAAAAGACTTGCAGTATGGGAATTTTCCTCCTACCTCCAAACCAAAGTGGATGGTGCTATGGGGCTGCACCGCTTACCTGACCGCCCTCTGGCCAACCTGCTGCCGCATCCTGAGATGGAGAGGGGAGACATGGCGGTCAGGTCAGCACATGGTTAATGCATCATCGGCACCTGAGTGCCTCTGCCACTGCATTGACCTTGCCCCTCCTCCAGGTGTGCAGCAGTAACTTATCTGGAGGGAGGTCAGGTATGTGGTGCTGCCTTATGCTCTCTTCTGCTCCAAAAAGCTATGTCTGAGAGTTGGGAGATCTTGCAGGGCAGATTTCTCTGTGTGTATGAGCAAGAAAAGGGGAAATCCTGCTGTGTAAATTATGTCTGCGCACTAGACACTGCTCTATGTGTAAATTATAAAATGAAAATAGAGCCTCTGCTCTTACAGCTAAAATTAAAGTTTTGCATCTAGCTGGGAACAAAATCGCCACCTAAAATTCTTTGAAGACACTTTTCACGAAACAAACATTAATCCTCTATTTTTATATCTTATTGTGTCAAGATGACAAGGCCAAACCCCACAAAATATCCATCAACTTCAACTTTCCAATCCCATCTTCAATTTAAAAGCCATCCAGATGACTTCTCCCAAGGTCCAGATCAACTGCTGTCTATATAGATAAATGTCCACTCAGAATACAGGATACCTTCCTAAAGACAGTAACAATAAATGAATGACAGCTCCTTATTTTGGCATAAATATCCTACTTTAGGAATTCCCATTCATAACAATGTGTACACACCACACAACAGGTGGCTTTCTGAGTCCCACCTTCCAAAAGAGACAGGAAGTCATGGCTTCCCTGACTATTTAACAGCCAGCCATTTCACCTGAAGATGAAGAGTAGTATTAACTAATGTTAATGTTACTGTAAGAATAACAGGAGTATTTTCCTTTAAGTTGTATTTTTATATACCCACACCCACCCCACTGAAGTATTTTTTATATACGGCTACTGAAATTATGAAAATGTTTTTAAAATAACCTTTAAACTGTTATTGCATGACACTACCGACATATTTAACATTAGAGATTATGTTATAGTTTATGTTAAAAGACATAATTCCACAAAGAGTTATTAAATGCATTAGACAATATTTTCTTTCAGTTTTTATATCATGTTTTTCTACTGAAAATGAAGACTTCAGAATCATTTTATTGTCTTTTGTACTATTCCTTCACTATGAGGACATGGTCTGGAAATATATAAAGTCTTAAAAGTTTAGAAAATCATAATGGCATGTCAACAATGTGTGAGCAACAGAAACTGCATCTAGATCTCCAGGCTGCAATCCTATGCACATTTTGCAAGTAGGCACGCTTTGATTCTCATATACTTCCAAGTAAGCAAGTAAAATAGAAAATTGTAGCAGGGTAGATAAACAAGACTATAGCAAGTTTTATGCGAAATCAAATTTTCAGGCGGTTATGGCAGATGAATGAAATTTAAACACAGATTTACATAGACTCAGTTCTCCCTTGCTTAGATCCCTGGCTTCCTGTTACTAGGGAACATTGCTTTGTTCCAACAAACCATGATCAATAAGCCAAGTACAAACTTGGCCACAGACCATGATTTTTTGGGAGTGAAACAACCCATGATCCCTGCTTCAGGCATAAATCAAAGGTCACAGCTTGTTTCCTCCCACCCAGCGAGAGTGGGAAGGAGTGAAATATTCTTCTTAGGCATATTAATCTTAACCATTTACTACAGTTTACCATGGCATGAGAAATGGAAAGGAAAAAGTGACTGTAACTGGTAAATTATCCTTAAGACACACAAAGCTGTATGAAAACTGAATAAATTGGAGTTTTACCTTTTCTTTACTGTAATACAAAGATTTCAAAGTGGTAAACAAGGGTGGGCAGCCTTTACTGAAGTTAACCCGCAGGAATTTATCCATTAGTTCTCTAAATTTTTCACCTAGAAACAAAATTGCATTGGGTTATATTCTTATTACTTAGTGTTGCACCACTGATTTCGGCTCATGTTATAGTTTTTATAAATTTTATATTAAAACCTGAAAGATGCTGGTAAGAACAGTGATCTACTTGTAATTTGAAATTAAAAAGTTTTTCTGCTTTGACAGAAATACTTGTACCTGGTCTTTTTTGGAGCAAATTTGAATGTTTCGAATATTTTTTTCTAATTTGCATAATTTATACATAATTTCAGCCTTTTTAGCCTGCCAGGATACTGGGTTGCTGTTGTTGTTTAAAAAACACACACATAGCACATTCTTTAACTGAACCTATGACATACCCAAGGAGTTTAGTGAGTGCAGAATGACGTTTTAACGATGGAGTCGTTAAAAAAATGACTTAGGGAAGATATCTGAACCCTTACAATTAGTGGCCGTTACTGCTGTTTGTAACAGCAATAAAGGACGAGTGTGCTATGCTAATACAGGAAGCATCTGAATGTGTGTACATTAGAAAGAAAAGAAGTCAGCTGTTTTGTGACCAGCGTTTGACAGAACCATCTGACAGGGCCAAATGGTGCCTGTGTGCTATTGGAAGCACTTTCACCAATCCTTTACGATGTGGTGCAGCCTTCTGTGCTGAATCGCGTCCTGTTCTGTATCTTCCAACCGACAGCAGTAGTGTTTGGGGGGACACAGCAGGTTGCAATGAAAAGAGGGGATTCCTGTCTTGCTCTAGTACAGTGGTACCTCGGGTTACATACGCTTCTGGTTACAGACTCCGCTAACCCAGAAATATTACCTCGGGTTAAGAACCTTGCTTCAGGATGGGAACAGAAATTGTGCTCCAGCGGCGCGGCAGCAGCAGGAGGCCCCATTAGCTAAAGTGGTGCTTCAGGTTAAGAACAGTTTCAGGTTAAGTACAGACCTCCAGAACGAATTAAGTTCTTAACCCGAGGTACCACTGTACTTGTGCTAAACACACAATTTTGCCTTCCACACAAAAAGATCCCCTTTGCCTTTTGTATTGGCAGTTATTGGCCTGTCACCCTAAACCAAGCTCCCAGGGGGGGAAATCGCAGTTGATCTGCTCTTTCACAGTCGTTCTGCTGCAGCGCTGAGATCCACAATGGTTTGACTTGGCATGCTGCTGGTATGTGGGGCCAACGGTTTAGTTCTAAAGGCACTAAAGAAATATGCAATGTTACCTGTGACGAAGTTTAAAGGTAATCTTCTAGGTGAAACCGCTCTTGGATGTTGCTTGCTTATTTCTTCATACATTTCTAGTCTCTCATCTAAAGAGCCTATTAGTGGATAATAAATGTACAGGTTGAGTCTTTGTATGTTATAAGCATCTGGTTTAAATCACAAGTGTGCCTATATGCAATATGGAAAACTACACTAGTGGGAATTTTATCTTGTTCTCTTCAACAGAAGCCCTTGGTTAACATCTCAAACTGCATTTTTTTTTATATAGAACAGGTTGAAAAGAAGTTTTCAGTATGATGAAAGAGAACAGCTGATGAAAGATAGAAATATACTGTGTGTGTGTGTGTGTGTGTGTGTGTGTGTGTGGATGCATTTTAAAAAAACCAAACAATTTTGTGGTGCAACCATGTTGCAAAATATTTCAACAATGTCAAAAGTCAAACTGCAGTACATAAATCCTCAGTTCTGAAACCACATGTTGGAGCTCCAGAACTAACCGTGGGGGAGGAAGCAATTCTATGAGCACCTTAAAAAAAGTAGCATTGTTATAAAGGTTAAAATATAATCTTTAAAAGGCTGCCATCCTTTGACTGTGCTTAACTCCATTGAAGCCGTTGAGTATAAATAGCAGTAAATGGGTGCATAGCATTGAAATTTCATTATAAATTTTGTAATGTAATAGTTATGCATAGTGCAGTGAAGCACATTTAAGAATAAATTTAGCAATTATAGGTAGTTCTTCCATTTGTATACCCTCATTTCTCTGGCAGCATTTTTCCAAAGATAGTATTTTGAGCTATACTTCTGATGCAGCTCAGTTGGTACAGCACGAGACTCTTAATCTCAGGGTGATGGGTTTCTGTACACTGAAGTAGCTTAAAAAAACAAGTAGCTAAAAAGCTGTATGCTTACCACTTCAGTAAGGAACATAGCCATTTAGCTCACTCTTTAGGCTCCTCCATATGAAGCAGTCCCTGATAATGATTTATGGTTCTGAGTACAGATAGGCTTATAAGTAGATAAAGCACTGGAAATTATGCTGGACAATGAAATTCAAATACACATCTTCTTTCCAAGGTCTAGGGTTCCAAGAGTTCCGATTTCTGAAGTTAACAAGACACCAATTGCTTAATAAAAAAAAGTGCAAACCAAGTTTATAACTACAACACTTACGTGGCTGTAGAGCTTTCTCCAAGCCTTCATAGTAACACCAATTTTCTGCATTCCGATCAATAAGCTCTCTATAGACTTCAGAAGCTTCTTTCAATCTTCCCAACTTCAACAACATTTCTCCTAAAGTAGTAATAAAATCGCAAACCAGATTTAGTTAAGGGAAACAGCCTACAGCTGGAAGGCGAAGTCTTCAACTCTGGAAGCCTGAAAGAGCCAATTAGCCACAGTGATGATGACACTGACCGACTACGCTGCAGAAAGCTGCTCAGAAACTGTGCGCCAGCAACATCCCGCATCTGCCCCTGATCATAATACTCTCCCATATCAGTTTCTACCCAGCATGGGCAGTGCTGATGTGATATGGAATGAGCATTCTGGTTAGGATAATGAGACAGGTCTTGTTGCGTCTGTTCAGCGCTGCCCTGAGTCACCCAGCGACTTACTGTAATGATTTCATGGTAAGTTCCGGCACCTGTTTTTCTAGAAAACAAGAACTGCTTAAGAAGTTTTCTTGCCATCAAGAGGTAAATAAATTTTATTAGATAAATTAAAAAAATACAAAAGGATGGTGGTGGTGCTCAGCTTGCCTTTCAAGCTCACCAGGCAGTTTGGTGAAGAAGAAGAGTTTGGATTTGACATCCCGCTTTATCACTACCTGAAGGAGTCTCAAAGCGGCTAACATTCTCCTTTCCCTTCCACCCCCACAACAAACACTCTGTGAGGTGAGTGGGGCTGAGAGATTTCAGAGAAGTGTGACTGGCCCAAGGTCACCCAGCAGCTGCATGAGGAGGAGCAGGGAATCGAACCCGGTTCACCAGATTACGAGTCGACTGCTCTTAACCACTACACCACGCTGGCTCTCTGGTGACAGCCTGTTGTGGAAGCCCTCGCGGTGATGGAATGGGAGCCCTAGGCATGATGAAGCAGACAGGGATGGGCGCTATAGGGTATCTTTTTAATCTAGAGTAGCCTTTCCTTTAAACTGTTTGAACATTTCAGACAAATGTTTATGGACTGGCATGTGTCTGCACAGTGTGTGCAAGCATGTCTGTGTGATGTTTATATTACGCACACAGAGTCCCCCCAAAAACACTTAATGACAAGGGGGAAACGTGATCTTCCTCTAGGTTTAATGGTCCACAGCTCCCTAGACTGAACCACCTCACAGACCAAGATTCACGTGAAGGAATATTTTAAGCATGTGAAAAGGAAAAAAAAAGTATTACCTTTTATTTCATCTATCATGAGCTTGTCACATATTTGCCTCTCGTAAGTTTCTATGTGTTCCAGAGATTCTTGAAACAGATCTGCCTCTCTCATAACTTGATTCTGGTACAATATTAATTCACTATATTCATAGTCTATTTTATTAGGAGGGATCTGGAAAATAACAGAATAGTTAACATTTAATCTGCCCCAGAAGACTAACTTCACAAAAGTTCTGTTTTGGTTAATAAAGGGACACTGGATAGTTGAATTAGAACTTGGAAATGAACAGTCATTTAAAAAATGAGTTCTTGCCTTTAAAAATGACAAAGCAATAAGTTGATCTCCTCAATTATCCTCTCAACTATTGACATTCACAGCTGCTTCTTAGGATATGTTTTTACTCTGGTATCAAAGTACATCTGTACTGTACTATTCATACTGTGTGCACACATACTTTCCAATTTTAAAAACAGATGCAGCAAGAGGAGAAACAAGTCTCCTGCTGCCATGCATTATAAAGGGGGGGACCTGTATTTTGAACCCAGGTATATAAAACCCCAAAACAAAGTATTTTGATAGTGTTATCCCTCACTGACTCCCCAAACCGTTCGAAAACCAAGGCGCAGCTTCCAACTGGCTACAGGAACTTCCTGCACTCAGTCGGAAGCCACGGAAAGCAGCGTCAGATGTTCAGCTTCCAAAAAACGTACACAATCCAGAACACTTCCAGGTTTGCAGCATTCGGGAGCAGATTTGTTCAGGAGCCAAGCCGTTCGAGTACCAAGGTACCACTGTATATGATTCAGGAAGTGAATAATTCCACCCAACAGCATAAATTATAAACAGATGCTTTGAACTGAATTTGTGTGCTACCTGACAACACCATTTGTCAATTCTTCATGATATTGTGGCTTAATGGTTTCCATTCAAATTTAGCTTTTTCACAGAAAAGTCTTATTTCAAATTGACAACAAAATTATTAGAGGGACCTGTAGAGATCAAATTCGATCCACCCACCAAGAATGACAGCTTTACAAACAACTCACAATGGTTTTCTGATATTCCACCAAGGACAAAGTAGAAGGACTTACGTATGTACCGTATTTTTTGCCCTATATGACGCACTTTTCCCCCTCCAAAAATGAAGGGGAAATCTGTGTGCGTCCTATGGGGCGAATGCAGGCTTTCGCTGAAGCTTGGAGAGCGAGAGGGGTCGGTGCGCACCTAGGCTGCGGATAGCAGCCTGCTTCCCGGAGCGCGGGGCGCGCTGAAGCAGAGCGCCCCGCGCTTCGGGCAGACATCGGGCAGCCCCACAAGCTCGGGGGACAGTGGGGAAGCGTAGTGCCGCCATCCCACTCTTCCCCGACCTGGCTTGGAGGCTGGTGCTAGGGAGAAGCGCGCTTCTCCCCAGCGCCAGCCCCACAAGCTTGGGGGACAGCGGGGAGGCGGAGCGCCGCCATCCCGCTGCTCCCCGACCTGGTTTGGATTCCCCGACCTGGTTTTTTGGGGGGGGGAAATAAAGGGAAATTTTTTCCCCTTTATTTCCCCCCCAAAAAACTAGGTGCATCCTATGGGCCGGTGCGTCCTATGGGACGAAAAATACGGTACCTGTGTGAGTTGCCCGTGGCATCCTATTTTTTAATTTCAGGTGTATAATGTATCACAATCTCTGGTACTTGATTAGCTTATCATTCCACTAACATAACTGAGGCTATAAGGAATTTGATATTGACTGTACAATAAATGGAAACATTTCATAAAACAATGGCACATCTTCTTTGCTTTATGTCCCAAAGTTGTAATTCTTTCGGACAATGGATAGAAAAACAACAGAAAATAAGTAATAATTCTGACTACAGTACAGTTACTCAGATTCTTAACTGTGTACGGTAACTGACATTTTTAAAAGATCTTACCTGCTGAGTTTTTCTAAACTCTTCCAGTAATTTTAAGGCCATATCATAATCTTTTAACAAATGATATGCAATTGCATATCCAATCCAAGAAGCCCTCTGCGTGGGCCGCAGCTGCAGCAGCTGATACCTGGTCTCCTTTAAAGAGATAATGAATATAACTAAATATAATCTACCAAATAATTAATTTTGCCATTCTTAACCAATATTGCAATAGGATTCTGTTTAATGAAAAAAAGGATGAAGACTTAACAGCAAAGAAAACTAGAAAAGCTCAGCTGGACTTCTTGTTAAATACTTATAATTGCAGCCCAACCTCTGACCTTAACTATGTTTACTAGCAAGTAAATTTACAATTTGCCACCGTCACTGCCACTCCTCCAGAATTAAAGAATAGTGTTGCAAGTAGCAATGGAAGGTACTACATCAAGGACGGTTTTCCATTTTGCCGGGTGCTACAATTTTATAAAGTTCCCCCCCCCATTGTTCTGTACAATGGCAGTTTTGAACATAGCAAATAAATCATATACCTACAAGATGGTGCCCAGATAACATTGGCATGTCCATTTCCCCAACCTAATTAAACTCAAATGCTCCTCTCAACTCTAGCAAATATTCAGAGAGCACTTTGCAAGTTTTCAGTTAAGCTCAACACAAAAGCTGGAGGAATTACTTACTCTGTAGCCTTCAAGATCCCTCATTTGGATCTGCAACAGTGAGAGATCTCTCAGAATTTGTAGATTGTCTTTATCTAATTTCAGAGCATTTCGATAGCACTTAATAGCTTCATCATATTTTTTATCAGAGCGCTGCAGGAGTCCATAAACATGCCAACCTAACAGAGTTAAGGAAATGCACTGGTTTTGGGGGTGGGGGGATGGGGAGTTGAAGACAAATGTTTATATTCCTGAAAGGATTCATAAATGAGTGTTATTCATTTATCTCAACTTAAGAGCATGAGCTAAGACAAATTATAACGAAGGATTTTTATGTTAGCCATAGGAGTGATTTCGAATACAAAATACAACACAGGAGTTAGCAATATGATGTGGCGTTTAATAGCACTTTGATGTGAACAATGTTTTTGCGCAGGCATACAGCATTAATGGTATAGTTGTGCATCTGCCAGTTAAATGTTAAATTGCCATTTTACCATAGCACTTCAACAGAAAATTGTGGAGAAGTTCCTTGGGTTAAAGAAGTCCAAAGTGCTAAATTGTCTGGGAATCAAGACATCCTGGCACCTAGAAAACTGAAGTATTTCCCAATGCTAGTGAGAGCTTATTCCTCATGAAAAATCTTCCATAATACAGTGGTGATGTAACTCTTCTGGACACTGCTAGACAAAGGTCCAGATGAACTGGAGCCCAAAGGTAAAGATAAGGTTTTGCTCCCATGCCAAGTTTGTATATGACTAAGCCATCGGATACTCTGGTGCCATAAACCAAGGGAGGAGGAAATCATGTGCTATTAGGTATTCTTCATTTTCACAAAATAGCCTATTACTTGTTTAGACCATGAGGCTGAGGTGATGTATGGACAAAACATATTATTTTCCTTAAAATTATTTTGATTGTTTTTGCTACCTGCCTTTCTGCAGAATGACTCAAATTCAAGGAGGCTAAGCAGCTGAGAAGATGAAGCAGCTGCATGTCAGAAGGACAGAAGCATGATATGAAGGAAGTTCTTGACAACTGCTCTGTGAACAGAAAGCCAGGAGGAGAAGGCCAAGCAGGCCAGAGAGTCATTGATTGCCATGGGCCCTGGGGGAAGGACCCCCCCTCCCTGGTTTAGTAATCCGGGTGTGTTTTAATGGGCATTGATGTTGTTTGCAAGTTCCTTTGACAGTTTTGTACCCTTAAAAGTCGGCTGTAGGTCAGGGGAGGGAAGTCCCTATGGGCAGATCCAGAACTGGCCCGGGCTCTGCAAACCATGTGAGCAGGTGGGTGGCTTCAATCACCTTTCCATCCCCTGACGTTACAGGATGTCAAGTAATTCAAAGTTCAGGAAGCATCTGCAAAGGAAGAGTCAGAAGCATGCTTTGTGGGTGCTCAGAATTCTTCCTTTATTTGAGGCCTGGACTTTCCTGTGCCCAGTGCCATATATTATTACATCAGGCCCAGGAAAGACAAAACAGCCTGGGGAGCAAACCTCTGAGGCTTAGAGGGCTAACTAGGCCCACAGGCTGGAGATTTCCACCCCTGCTAAAAACAAGCATCACTGGAAAAACCTGCGTTCAAATTCCCACTCCACCATGAAACTCACTGAATAACCTCAGGCAGTGGCTCTTCCAGCCTAACCTAGAAGGCTGGTGTCTAGGGCAGGAGTCCACAGGATCCGGCCTGCTAAAACAAAAGGGTCCCCCATCCCTGCAGAAACATAATGGCATAGTAAACATGACATGTTTTGTGCTGACCTGCAGTAAGTACCCAGGAATCCAGTGTTATGACTAATAACCTGCATTTTAGAATTTCCTAAATTTAACAGATTACATATCAAATTAAGTTGTTAGACCAGGAGTGGCTCATCTATGACCCACCAGTTGTTGTGGGACTAGAATTCCCATTATCCCTGATGGTTGGCAGGGAGTTGGAGCCCCAACAATATCTAGATGGCCACAGGTTAGCCACAGGTATGTTAGACAATATCTAATGGCCTAATCTATACATTTCAATATAAAACGCTCAAATCTGTTACATAGCAAAGTATCCACTGGATAATAATTGGGAGAGGGGTAGAGAAAGAGGATTTCAGAACTATTAGGAAAAATTGAAATTGGTGTACTATTTGAAAGGATACACACATGACTTTTTACATCATTACGAAGGCCTTTGCGAACAAATGCATATGCTTCTTCTTTCTTCCCTAAACAATTCAAGGTCAGTCCTTTCATAGCCAAAGTTTCTGTAAAAAATATTTTATAATTTAAGAATCAAGTTTAAGCAACACATGTGTGATAAGTTTCACAATCCCCATCTAATAATAATAATAATAATAATAATCCAAGCACCTCTTGGGAATACATGGATGCAAACACAGTTATGGATTCTCACCTTCCCATACATCCACAAAAGCTTCTCATTCACTATTTTGTGGGGTGGGGCAGCTAGGTCTATAGCACACAGAAGAATGTGTACATCATCCTGCTCTTGCTCTGCAGAATGGAAGGAGAAAACCCTGCCCCGCTCCCCAAACAAAGCAGCTCTGAATCAGAATAAATCAAAGTGAAATTATTCAAGCTTAACTCAATAATAACCTATGACCAACAACTATCATGGAACATGCATTCATTTCCAGAAACCAGAGAGTTCTGATCTCTACACTTTCAGAACAGGGTGGTAGGAGAGAGTGTAGCAGTTCAGGATACAGATTGTACCCGTATAAAACAAAACAAGACTACCACAAAAGGGAACAGGTTTTGTATTGTAATGAGCTTTCAGACTTCTGGTGAGGATGCTCCCATATTAAAATACACAAACACACAAACTGTGCAAGAAACATCTAGCATGTGAGAGAAAAGGCTGTAGTTCAGCTAATTCCCAATTTTGCTAGTTTTCTACTTATTTATAGATATAGGAGCATTCAAAATGTGATCTACCACCTGCAGTTTGAAATGGAACAATTCACCTTACCACCTCATTTTTCTGTACATGTACACCAGACCAAGACTGAATTCTCTAAGGTTCTGCTCAGAAGCATTGTCTGAAATTCCACAGGTGCCAGGAACATTTTGCAACTGGTGCAGATCCAATTTCGCCCAAGTGACGATGCCTCGTCTCTAGGTTTGGCGACTGACATCTCCATCTGGCTAGCAGGCTGCAGCGTTTTCTGCTATTGCACACCCCACATCAAAAAACGCTGCTGCATGCCAGCCAGTCATCCGATCACGGGAGATTTCTTGTCGTTTTATTCTGAATTGTTTTATTTGATGTTTTAATGTGCTTTAAACTGCTTTGAGATTTTTCTTTAAAATATAAATTGGTATAGAAAAGGAATAATAAGAAATGTCACTGCAAGAAAAGGCAACTAGACAGTCTGTTGTGGCAAACGTAACCTAGGTTTAAGGTGCCATTTGGCACTTAGCTTATGTAGCTGAGTTTCTACCACTGCTCAGAAGAAAAGGCTTGTTTTAAATTATTTCAAGATACTTGGAGTTTAAAATTTATCATTCTAAATGGTGTAAAACAAACACTCTGAATATCTGCTGGGTAAACATCCTTTAAGACAGGGACGTCCAACTCCAAAGAGATTGCAATCTACTCAGAGAATAAAAAACTGGAAGTGATCTACCCCTTTTGGGGGGAGCGGGGGTTCAGGGGTCAAAGTTGTAGAGCTTTTTTTAGGGAGGGGATACAAAAATGTTGAGCTTTAATAAAGGAAAAGGGGGAAAACTCCGTCTTCCGTTATAGCGATCATATGTGAATTGAGGATGGGGCAAGCTGGATGCTCTTTTGCCACCAGAAAGGAGAAGGAGCCCGCGATCGACCAAAACCACCCAGGGATCGACCACTAGATCACGATCAACCTGTTGGACACCCCTGCTTTAAGAAAATGAATAAATTAAAATAATGCACTTACCTCCATGCTCAGCAAACTTTGGATTGGAAAGGATCATCTTACAGAATTTGAGTCCATTTTTGTACTGTTTTTGTTCATAACATTTCTAGGAAGGAGGAAAAAATAAGATTAGGTTACACCTATCTTAAAAAGTAATCTCTTACTTAACTTAATATCACAATCCATTAGCTTCTTCAGTGGCACTTAAAATCACTGACAAGATTGCCTTTTAATGAGATCTCTGAGGGTCAAACTATATAACACAATCAAATATATGCAGGGAAATTGACAGTAATTTTCAAAAATGAAAAACAGCAGTGGGAGAGAATAGTTCTTAACTTTTTTCCTTTTCCTTACCTGCCATTTCCCCTTCCTAAATGCCTCCAGGTGTCCAATAAGAGTTTTGACCGGCAAACTGGGCCATACAAGTTATAGTTAAGCAATGATTTTACGTGAACAATAAAAGTTCTCACTCTGCTCTTCCCCTGCTCCTGCCATACCTCTGTGCAACAAGTCAGGAGTCTGGCTTGCTGTGATGTTCAAACCAGGAGCTGTGGTTTATTTCCTCCAAACAAACCATCAGCAGAATGCAAAGAACAAACCTTTGTTACCACTCATGGTTTGCTTAGAGGGAAACAAACCACAAATCCAGCTTCAGGAACCACAAGCTGGACTCTGGCTTGCTGCTTGGTGATGCAGCAGCAGGAGTGGGGAAGGAGTGAGCTTCTCAGTAGCTTGAACCAGTGGACAGTACATCCAAATTAAACAAGTCTGTTTTCAGCTATGCAATATGTGAACCAGGCCTGTGTGTCTCTGTGTGCACATTTAGCACGCCCAAGTCAGAAAAGAGTTGGCTTAATTTGCTTTCCAACATCAACTGTCTGTTGAATTAAAATTTTCCTATGTTCTTGTTAGAAATGCCATCAAACCCAGTGGGGCTTACTTCTGAGTAAGCCTCCATAGACTTGGGAGTTTCTAAGTTGCAGAAATCATGGTGAGAATTGTGGCAAGGTGGTTTTTATTCCAGATTGTTTGCCTCTAGGTCTACCAATCATCTTTGCTCTGGCTCTGACTACGAATGTTATGCACCTCCCAGCAGACTATCCCCCTAAGTAAAAAAAGTTACCACACCTACACAAATTAACTCCACTTCTCCCCATTTTCCCAGTAAAATACAGTATTAATACCGAGCAATTTTTCGCAATCAATAGCCTTGCGGCTACTGTTGTGTATAAATATAATGTCTTGTCTTCTTCCTTTAGACTTCCTGGTACTATTCCCAATAGAAAATCTTCTGGTGTTTTCCTAAATGAATGAATTTTCCTAAAATTGGAAAAATTGGAAAAGTGGTATTATACCGACAAAAACAGAGTGGCTTGCCAAATTATTGGAGTATTACAATATATCCAAAACAATGGGAGAAATTGGAAGGATCTCAAAAGAGAAGATAGACAGGGACTGGAAGGTGTTTAAAGGATACTTGCAAAACCATATTGAAAAATCAGAACTCCTATTAGAATGAACAAGTTCCGTTTTAAATACTGCAATACTAAATAAGATGGATAACAATGTGTAACAGAAAAAGAAGCATGAAATTAGGTTAAAGGTGTTTGAAAGAAAGTAATAGAAGTGGAAAGAAATTGCAATTGAGTAGATTGGAAGTCTAACACAAAGGTGGGGTGAGAGGTGGTGGATGGTCATGGGAAAAGGAATTATCTGTGGGATTGAGTGTAGGCATGTTTGAACATTTTTAAGGATTGTATGAAATGTATGCTTGCATATTCGCAATATGTGTGTATTAATGCTGAATTATTTTAATAATAAAAACTTTTCAAAAAAATTTTTTTAAAAAAAGTATTAATACCGAGCAGTTTTACAAAGGTTGGAATCTGACAGATTTTTAAAAACTTTTTGACTGCTCAAATACAATAAAAAAGTCCATGTGTTTATCATGGTAATTTATTAGTACAAGAAAGGGGGGGAAATGTCAATTACAAAAAATGAGTGTCTTTTAGAAGACTCCAGAAGCATTTCAGAACACCATGTGGAGGCCCCTTCACCCCATACCTACTGATTTACTATTGTCTTGGTGCCTGGGTCATCCAGTACATTGTGATGACTGGTTTTGTACACTTCCTTTTGACGCTTGTATAGAGATGCCTACAGTGACAGCACACTGACTGCTAGGGTATATCTACCGCTTCATGGGGAAGGAAAGCTGCAAGGACTCAGGGTGCCTGTTTCTAAAGGAAGGTTGTGGACCCTGACTGGGGAAGCCAAGGAGGAGCTGACATGCATGGTTAACGTGCAGAATGCAAGTTGGCTTCTGAACACAACCCACTCCCCCAAAATGGCTGAAAGGGTTTTGTACGTTTGGGGCTTCAGGGGCAGCTAAGAACAGAGGTTGGGGACCTGATTTAAAATGAGGGCGAGGAGGTGAAAAAGTTGCTGAAGTGCAGCATGATCCTAAGCTGTTCTACCCAGTCTCGTTTGATTCAGAACTTATTCCCACTGGAGCGAGTTTAAGGGATGCAGCCTTTCGGGGTGTTCAATGGGAAACAAGCCCCGCTGTGTCTAATGCAGCTTTACTGGGGTTGCAGCTGGACAGCATAATCCTATTGCATACTCATTTAAAATTAAACCCTGTCGTGTTCATGGGGTTGTGGAGTTGGAGGCGGTCCTTTGCATACAGTTATGACCATAACTTGGGTGGCTTTCGAAGAGGGCTCAACCCCACTCATGGAGGAAGAAGGTGCTCTTTGGGCTACCAGCCAGGCTGGCAGGGCTCTGTACACAAGAGGCTCGGATCCTGCCAGCTGGCTTCCCTTGGGGAGGCCCCTGGCGGGCCCAGCTGGAGCAAATCCTGCACTTCTCCCATGTCCTCGGTCCTGATGAAGCCACACCGTGACCGGACGGGGGATCCCCAGCGAGTGCAAGAAGCATGGGATATTCAGGGTGGGTGGCTGGGAGAGAGCAGGATGAGGCCTCCAGAGGAAGGCCAGCAGGCAAATTTAACAAACAAACGAAATGCACAAATGATCTGCTGCCTGCAACTGACAGCAGAAGGGCGTGGGGGGAAGAGAGCGAGAGCCCAGGGCCGGATTTAGGTTTGATGCGGCCCTAAGCTACTAATGGGGCCCTTTATATGTCCAGCTGCAGTGGCGTAGCATGAGGGGTGCAGGGGGGGCTGGCTGCACCGGGCGCAACATCGGGGGGGGGGGGCGCTCGCCGCCTCCAGAGTCGCCGAAGAGCCTCGGGTGCAGGCTGTAGCAGAGCCCCATGTCTCGTGGAACCGACGAGCTGGCAGCGGCTCTCAGCGCTCGCCGCGGTCCCCGCGCATCAGGGCCGCGGAGGGCGCGCCAGGAAGCCCCTCCCCACAGCCCCGCCGCCACTGCTGCTGCAGCTGCTGGGCCATGTTGCATTTTCCTCGCCTCTCTGCCCTCCTCCTCCGGGCAAGCGGCGTCGTTTGGGCGGCAGCGCCAGCGGCACCTCGCCTCAGATCACCTGACACGGACCCGCCGCCGCCGCCATGGCTACCTTACCGTGAATACCCCAGCCCAGGCAGCAGCAAGAAGAAGCTGGCAGTGGCGGCAGGTTAGGGGTTAGGGGGCGCAAATTACTTGCCTTGCCCCGGGTTAGGGGGCGCAAATTACCTGCCTTGCCCCGGGTTAGGGGGCGCAAATTACTTGCCTTGCCCCGGGTTAGGGGGCGCAAATTACCTGCCTTGCCCCGGGTTAGGGGGCGCAAATTACCTGCCTTGCCCCGGGTTAGGGGGCGCAAATTACTTGCCTTGCCCTGGGTTAGGGGGCGCAAATTACTTGCCTTGCCCCGGGTTAGGGGGCGCAAATTACTTGCCTTGCCCCGGGTGCTGACAACCCACACTACGCCGCCGTCCAGCTGTCCTTTGTCAACAACAAATTGGTGCTGTTTTTTGTGTTGAATATATGCTATATGGTCATGTATGGACCTAATAGGTACCTAAAGCCATTTGCACATAACAAAATAGATATTTTATCCAAATAATTGCTGAACTGAAATACAATGAAGAAGAAGTGAGAGACAATTAAGAAGTATATTAATAGTGAGAGAATTAAGAAGAAGTATATTTTGGAGGGGGGGGGCCAAGCTTGTTTAGCTTATCCGTAAATAAGGAGGGGAGCCGAGAGAGGCCTCCGCGTCCCTCCCGAGGGGAGGCCCGGAAAGGTGCCGGGACGGAAAGGAGGGCTGGGTCGGGGGGCTCAGCTCAAGGGCGGGCGCCGCACAAAGGGAAGGAAGGCGGGGGGGGGGACGAGGACGACGAGGGTGCTGCCCCCACCCCACCCCGAAGAAGGCCCTGCCCTCTCTCCTCACCAGGACCCTCTTGAAGAGGTTGCTCTCCTTGGGCGGCAGCGGCGCGGCAGGCATGGCGGGGCTTCGCCGGCAGCCCGCGATGGCCCGGGCGGGCGCGGCCGGCCCTCAGCTCCCTCGCCCCGGCCCAGCGCCGCGCAGCCCGCCGACCCCTCTCCTCCAGGCCGACGCCGAGCCCTCCGGAGCGCCCCTAGCGGCGGCGGCCGGGCGTGAGGGGAAGCGGCTTCCCTGCCCGCTGCCTCTCGGGCCCGGAGGAGGAGGAGGCGCCGCGGCTCTCGCTTGACGGGGACGCAGCCCGAGGGGCAGCGCAAGGCCTCAGGAGGCGCATCGGGCCTATCGCAGTGTTCCCCAACCTTGGGCCTCCAGCTGTTTTTGGACTACAACTCCCATCATCCCTCGCTAGCAAGACTAGTGGTCAAGGATGATGGGAATTGTAGTCCGAAAACAGCTGGAGGCCCAAGGTTGGGGAATATAGGACGGGCAAGCTTTCCGTTGAGGGAAAGAAAGCAGAGCTGAGGGAATTTTTATTGGGGTGTGTGTGTCTCATTCTGTGTGTGTGTGTCTTCACTGCCCAAAGACCCCCGAGGACCTCCAGAGACAGGGAAACGGTTCTAGAGAAGAACGCGGCGAGGAAGAGGTTAACCGGAAGCGGCACTCTGGCCTTCTGGGACTTGTAGTCGTCAGTGGCTCTGGGAGCTTCGTCGTTTCGCGAGGACTTCCTCGTTCCTCCCGGGGGGCGGGGCGAGGGTGTACCTGCGCTCGCAGAAAATTTCTAATATTATGGATGCTTGTAATTTTCCCAAATAGCTAATAATAATAATAATGTATACCCCGCCCATCTGTTTTTTAATAAATAATTTTTATTAAGTTTCTTACAAATATAACACGTACCACAACAAAAGAACAAAGAAAAAAGAAAAAATCACAAATATAAACAAACAAACAGAAAGAACAAAGTACCAGTAAATACCTAAACAACGCAAATTAATTAGTTATTTAAACTTCTGTCTTCATAAACATGTTTTGGACTTCCTCTGAGCCCACCCATCTGAATTTCCTTGTAAATAAAATGTAGCAGTTTTCTGATAGAATTTTTTAAACACTGTATTCCAATTAAAATAAAATTTAACTTTTCTTAAAATTCTAAGGCTTATTTATTTAATTAACTCTTAATTTAGTCCCAGGCCTATTTTGGTACTTTCAAGTAATGTCTAGTTTTTAATATCACAGTATTTATTCAAATAGTCTTTGAATTTCTTCCACTCTTCTTGGTATTCCTCTTCTTTCTGGTCACGGATTCTTCCAGTAAGGTCAGCCAGCTCCATATATTCCATCATTCTCATCGGCCATTCTTCCACAGTTGGTAGTTCTTGTGTTTTCCATTTCTTGGATATTAAAATTCGAGCAGCAGTTGTGGCATACAAAAATAACTTTACATCTTTCTTGGGCAATTCCAAGGAGAAAGGCCTCTGGGTTTTTTATGAATGTATGAATGTATATTTCAACATTTTTTTAAATTCATTATAAATCTTTCCCCAGAAGTCTCTCACCTTGGGGCATGTCCACCACATGTGATAAAAGGTACCTTCCTTTTCTTTACATTTCCAACATATATTATCACAACTATGATAAATCTTGGCTAATTTAACCGGAGTTAAGTACCATCTATACATCATTTTCATTATATTTTCCTTTAACATCGTACATGCAGTAAACTTTACCCCTTTCTTCCATAATATACCAACATATATTATCACAACTGTGATAAATCTTGGCTAATTTAACCGGAGTTAAGTACCATCTATACATCATTTTCATTATATTTTCCTTTAACATCGTACATGCAGTAAACCTTACCCCTTTCTTCCATAATATACCCCGCCCATCTGGCTGGGTTTCCTCAGCCACTCTGGGTGGCTTCAAACAAAATATTAAAATAATCTGTTAAACATTAAAAGCTTCCCTAAACAGGGCTGCCCTAAACAGCCCTTCTCATCTTGCAAACTCATAAATATGAACAACCTAAAGTAATGGTTGACTCCATTGAGTACAGTAAATATAATAAAATTAAGCATGCACATTTGATAACTGCTGAAGGAGAGCAAAAGTGTGTTCTCTTCTTCAACAGTCCTCACCCCATTTCCTTTTCTAATGAATAAAAGTATATTCCAGTTTAGTTAAATAAAACCAGTCAGCACAACAAATACAATTAACATTTATAAATCACACAGGGCATTTGGGGAAACAATTTTAGAGGATATTGGAGGTAGGAACTGTTTCCAGATAAACAGAACAAAGGAATACACAAGTAAGGAAGTCAGATTAGCCTCAACCAGAGCCAGGGCCTTTTCAACACTGGCTCCAGCTTGGTGGAACGCTCTGCCTCATGAGACTTTTGCTAAAAGACTTCTAGTGTATTGGAAGCTAGAATTTATGTCAGTATCGATGGTCAGCCAACAAAGGTCCGTATAGTTCAGGGGTCTGCAACCCGCGGCTCCGGAGCCACATGTGGCTCTTTTACACCTTTAACGTGGCTCCGGGGCGGATACTAGCGAGGGGAGGAGGCGCATTGTGCGCCCCGACACTCCCCACTGTGGCGGGCGCTGTACTGGCTGTGACGTCGCATGGGGGCGGTGCGTGCGTTAGTCACGCACCGTCCCCAGGGACGCGGACTTATACAAAATATTGGGGGGGCCCGGGAAAGCTCATGAATAATAAATAAGCTCATGAATATGCAAATAAAGTGGCGCCGCCTCCTCGTGAGCAAATAGGGGAGAGCGTGCTGCGCCTATTAATCAGCTCCGGAACAGCTGATATGCGGGAAACGTGGGGCTAGCCGGAGAAGAGAGGGCGAGCCCCCTCCGCTCCGGCCCTAAATAGGGCAAGCCACACACCCCCAGCCAGCCGATTGGTACCCGGTCGTTCTCGCGGGGGCTGAAACCGCCAGGAGGAAGGAAATTCCCCCCGGCAGTGCCTTGGCAGTGGCGGTGGTGTTGCGAAGCAGCGAGGCAGGAGCCCCCGCCCCCAGGGATTCCCTAATCTCGCGGGGGACGGCCGGGGCTCTCCGACTAGGGCGCGCGGCTGGCTGGCTGGCTGGCGAGGGAGCAGGTGGGGAGGAGGCGGGGGACGGCGGCGGCGCTCTGCTGGAAGGGCGCCCGAGATTATTGGGGGGGCTGAGCCCCCCCAAAAAATTTTTTGAGGGGGCTCGAGCCCCCTCAGGCCCCATGGAGTCGGCGCCTATGACCGTCCCGACGTCACCTTCCCGCCCGCTGTCAGATCGCGGCTCTGGAGATATATTTGTTTTAAATGTCGCAATGGTTTTGCGGCTCCCAGTTGTTTTTTCCTTTGGAAACGGGTCCAAGTGGCTCTTTTTGTCTTAAAGGTTGCAGACCCCTGGTATAGTTAAAGCCGTGGTTTTCCCAGTAGTGATGTATGGAAGTGACAGCTGGACCATAAAGAAAGCTGATCGCCAAGGAATTGATGCTTTTGAGTTATGGTGCTGGAGGAGACTGGGAGGCAGTGGAAGACAGAAGTGCCTGGCGTGCTCTGATCCATGGGGTCACGAAGAGTCGGACACGACTAAACAACTAAACAACAACCACCGATGGTCAGCTATTATAATTAAACTTAAGAGAGACTGTCTTAAGGTTTCCAGAAGCAACTACCATGCTGAAAGTAGTTGGTGAAATTGCTGACTGGGAAACTTGGGGTATTCCCTGAAATTATAGGATCATTCAGAACTGTAGGTAGTAGTATTGCTCAGCCGTTGAACTGTCTTTGAATCTTAAAACGTTTTGCTCAACAGCGTGAGATATGTAAAATGTTTCTTCTTTTTTTTGCTAACCATGCCTGTCCGAGCAGTTTCCTATGAGCTTATGTATGTACGTAATTGGCCGCCACAGTCACTCACAGACTCATTGTTAAAACCGTGTTTATGGAAGACAATCTTACTCGGCCACGAGTGATCACCAAAGAAGGTTAATATGTATAACCTGTTGGCTCATGCTCAGGATACCAGAAACATGGGAAACTAATCATTTTTTCCCTTTACAATAATTTATTTTGATTAAAGTGACTACACTTTCACTGAAGCAACAATTTTTGTTTCCAATGCACCTTTTTTTTTTTTTTTTGTAGCATGCCACTATCAACAAAAAATATATAATGACAATATTAGTAACCTACCTCGTGGGGCTGCTATAGTGGTGAATGATATTCAACATTATAGTATGAGTTATGGATATATGCTGGAATTCAGTGACTAGGAAAGCCCCACTGCACACCGGATAGCCCTAGGGCAGGACTTCCGCTGATGGCATTTGTTAAGTGAATCCCGCCCACTGTGTTGTTCACTTTGTTAAACTGATATAAGTGAAGCAGTGGAAAGCAATACTAGTCTTTGAATCCATGTCCTTAAAATAAACATCAGTTTATGCAGCAATGCCAGGCAGAGATCTTAGTAAATTTAAATAGTCATATTCTGGAACTTAATAAGGATTCAGAAATTCTGCAGCGGTGGTAATACTTTTTATTTTTACTTGGAACCATGCACAGCATGGAGTTATGTGTCTTGCTGCCTGCCATTTTTCAACCTTCGCTGAAATCTGCTCCAAATTTTCAATTTTTTAACTCAAACTCTAGGGACAAGCTATTGATCCAATGCATTAAGGGCCACACATTCCTCCTTGAATTCCAAAATCCTTACCACTTCCTCTGTTCTTCTGACCCTCTTATCTCTGGTTTCAACCTTTAATTTTGGTGCTGACCTTTAAAGCCCTAAACAGCCTCGGCCCAGTATACCTGAAGGAGCGTCTCCACCCCCATCGGTCTGCCCGGACGCTGAAGTCCAGCGCCGAGGGCCTTCTGGCGGTTCCCTCATTGCGAGAAGCAAAGCTACAGGGAACCAGGCAAAGGGCCTTCTCGGTAGTGGCACCCACCCTGTGGAACACCCTCCCATCAGATGTCAAAGAGATAAACAACTACCTGACATTCAGAAGACATCTGAAGGCAGCCCTGTTCAGGGAAGTTTTTAATGTGTGACATCTTAGTGTATTTTTGCCAGATGGGCGGGGTACAAATAATAAATTATTATTATTATTATTATTATTATTATTATTATTATTATTATTATTATATTTGTTACTCCAGGCTGCCAGTGTCACAAGGTGTATGTCTGAACCTATGTGCATGTCCACAACACCCGTGTCTTCAACATACAGCTCTGAGAGGATTAAGACCTTTCGTGTGGGGTCTGTACATGAATCTGTTGAACATCAGTGCTTTAACCCTTACGCCTAATAAAGAAGTTCACACAACAAAGGAATGAAGATTGGTTTATTATGTGGAATGAAGATAAGACGGGGTATACAGAGGCTGCTTCTGACAGCAAGGTTATACATATATCCGAGCAGCACATATATTCATTTTTTTTACCAATTATATTTTATTACATTTCAACATTTCAAACCTATACAATCAAAACACAATTTCGTCTTTTCTCCTATTTTTGTCAACATCCCACCCCTTTTCCCACAGAGTAGCTCCGTCTTTCCTCCTGCTACCACTAGATGGGACAACCTACTGCAAATTACCGTATTTTTCGCTCTATAAGATGCACCAGACCACAAGACGCACCTAGTTTTTGTAGGAGGAAAACAAGAAGAAAAAAAATATTCTGAATCTCAGAAGCCAGAACAGCAAGAGGGATCGCTGCGCAGTGAAAGCAGCAATCCCTCTTGCTGTTCGGGCTTCTGGGATAGCTGCACAGCCTGCATTCGCTCCATAAGATGCACACACATTTCCCCTTTTTAGGAGGGAAAAAGTGAGTCTTATAGAGCAAAAAATACGGTAAATCTCTATACCAAATGTCTTTCGGGGGGGGGGGGTATCCACAAATAAAGTAAACTTCCTGACTCCATTCCTGCCCCCAACCATGACGGGAAAGGAAATCTCTGGTTATGACACCAAAAATAATTGTGACAGAAAAGGCAACACATCTCTCTGACCAAACTGGATATCCAGGGTGTACAAATTTTGGGCATGTGCGACATGGATTCTCAAAGAGGCTGCTTTTAGCTACTGCAAGCGGCCGCATGGCAGTCGTGTAGGGTGGCAGATAAGCCTTGCTTTTATTATTATTGATTTATTTCATTTAAATAATGCATATACTACAACAGTCTCTGTGGTTTACAAAGATACAGTGAAAAAAGTTCTAATCAGAACTGTAAAACCAAACCTCGGTTAAGATGCCTGCCAGAATAACTAGCTCAACAGTTCAACAGTTTCGCGTGTGCTCTTCTCTTATAACACGCATGGATTGGCTTCACGCGGCCTCTGCCATCTTCCAAGCTATTGAGTCCTCACTTTTGTCTGCCCAGAGAAAGTTCTATACCTTTGGCTTCAGCCATCCCAAGTGTCAATCTCACGATCAACATCTTTAGGCATCGCTCTTCAGTTGTAGCAGCAAGTATTTTTGAAGTCCCTGATCAACATCCTGAGCTCTCGTTGGTGATTTGTTCCTAGGCAGTCAGCAGCACACAACATGCTTACACATAAGTAATCCCTACTGATTTAAAGGAGACTTGCCCCTTAGCAAATGTGCATAGGATTGTAGCTCTACAGTTCAACTGCATACATGCCCATTCCGTATCAAATACCCTTGGGTTGCATCCATTGGGTTGGGTCATTCCATATCAAGTGAGCCAATTTTTTTATGTCATGTCATCCATCTTTTTCTTAATATTTAGCACACTTGTTGAATGATCCAAACTAAGTTTAAATCAAACATTTTATTTATCTCGTCCCGTTTTTGAGTTATGGTTTGGAATTAAAAAATAAAATAAAAACGACAATTTTGGCCTTGCTGAAATACGCAAAAACCTTAACAGCTCAGCCAAGAATTGAGAGATTTCAAAATTAAAAATACCAATCTCTTCAGAATTTCATGGGCTTGAAAACGATATGTCACATGATGGACTTCCTTTACATTTTAAAGTTACAAAATTTAAAAAGTGGTTAAAAAAATTAACATAATTAAAAATTTCCAATAAGTATATTCATTATTTAATATACTTCTATGAGCTACCTGCAAATTTTGATCTTGATATCTCAATGGGATCACTTTTTTAAAGAAATAACACAACACAAAATGTTTTGTACATACATGTCTGCCTTATTGGGTTCTGTTTAGGATAAATGGTTCTTCTTGGAGTAAAATATAACAGAATAAAGAAGACTTCAAATTATAATACCAGTTACTTTAGGCATTTCTTTAGAAAGTTATTCAGTTAAAAGGTATCTGAAAAGTTATTCAGGCTTCTTAAAAAAATAAATAATGGTGTGCCAAAGCATATAATAGAATTAACGCTTTGAAAGAATTCCTATTAGTACTTCATTTCATGAACATTACAGCAAAAAGCTTTATTTTCTGTCTTTCATCCCTGAGAGAAGGAAGCTAGTGAGTTTCCCAAGGACCTGCTGCTTCCTCTGCAAAGCACCAGAAAAAAGCCAGAGGTGATTTACCCTGTAGGCCTTGGCACTCCATGCCCAAAGACACCCATCTACTCTCCTTTTTGAGGAGTATTAAGCTTTTTTGAGGAGAGGTAATAAGAGTTAAGGCTGAGTTAAAACTTAAGTTGTTTGGGAAGGGTGCCATTTAACACTACAGTGGTGCCCCGCAAGACGAATGCCTCGCAAGACGGAAAACCCGCTAGACGAAAGGGTTTTCCGTTTTAGAGGTGCTTCGCAAAACGAATTTCCTATGGGCTTGCTTCGCAAGACGAAAATGTCTTGCGAGTTCCTGCAGGGTTCCCCCCCCTTTCCCCAAGCCGCTAAGCCGCTTATCAGCTGATCCGCTAAGCCGCTTAACAGCTGATCCGCTAAGCCGCTTAACAGCTGATCACTAAGCCGCTTAACAGCTGATCTGCTAAGCCGCTTATCAGCTGATCTGCTAATCCCGCTAAACCGCTAATAGCGCTAATCCACTAATGGGCTTGCTTCGCAAGACGAAAAAAACCGCAAGACGAAGAGAATCGCGGAACGGATTCTTTTCGTCTTGCGAGGCACCACTGTACTGGCCTGCTATTGTTTATATTATTATATTGTATTGTATTCTTGTATATTGTATTGTATTATTATATTGTATTGTATTGTATTGTATTGTATTGTATTGTATTGTATTGTATATTTTTGCTCCTTGTCTTTCATTAATGGTGAACTAAGTGACACTTGGAATAGACCCAATGAAACCAATGAACATAAAAATCGATTTATTCCAGTGGGTCTGCTCCAAGAATGACAACCACCCTATATTTCTAATTTAGTCTGTTAACTGCCTGGAATTCTTAAAAGTAGAAAAGCAGTCGGAAGTATATAATAATAAGTATATAATAATTACCTAGGTTAAGGTTTCAGCATCTTTTGGAAACCTAGTAAGGGGCCTTTTCCTTCGAGAAAGTTAAGAAAGTTACTTAGAGAACATTAAGTTGAGGTATAACGAGCTCGTAAAGAGTTACGGTATAGCACCTATAATTCAAAAATACTTTATAATGGAAAATGTCCCTGTTGCATCATTAAGCACAATATTTGCATTGCCAGAAGTGCCCTGGTGGGTATTCAGAGGCCCCGTTTAGCCAACATTTATTGAACATTAACTTCTCTTATTCGTCATAGCAGCAGCTATTGCTCAGAATCAGCAGGAAATGTGAGGAAGAGCTCAGTAGATAAATGGAATCAGAATTTTCCTGGAGCGGGGATAGTCTTCAAACTTGTTGAGGTACCAGCTGAAGGAGAAGAAGCAGAAATAAGGAGTACTGTTTGGCTCAAATTGTATAAAACTAGAACATTACCACCATTCATATATCTGGAGTAAGGCCCAGGCATGTTCTTAAATCTTCATAAATACAAATACATTTCTTAACTGCCTCAGTAAGAACAGGAAAAGCCAAATTTACCGTATTTTTCGCTCTATGGGACGCCCTTTCCCCCCTCCAAAAATGAAGGGGAATGTGTGTGCGTCCTATGGAGCGAATGCAGGCTCCTTGGCTTCAGTGATAGCAACGCGAAGCCTCCAAAGCGCAGAGGGAGCGCTCCCTCCACGCTCCGGAGGCTTCGCGTTGCTCGGTGTGCACCAACCCCTCTCGCTCTCCAGGCTTCAGGGATAGCAGCCTGAAGCCTGCGGAGGGAGGCAGGAACTTACGCTGCGCTCTGAAGGCTTCAGGTTCCTTTTCCGGAAGCCGGGAGAGCAAGACTCTCCTGGCTTCAGCGAAAGGAACCCGAAGCCTTTGGAGCGCAGCGCGAGTTCCCGCTGCGCTCCAAAGGCTTCAGGTGGCGATCAGCGACGCGCCTGTCATGCGAAGCCAGAGGAGGAACAGAAGGGACTCCTCCTGTTCCTTCTCCAGCTTCACTGAAAGGCGCTGCACCTTCTCCCTCTCTGCGCAGCACCTCTCCTGTGAAGAGACGAGAGAATTGCGCAGCGCCCCTTCAGCGACGCGCCTGTCCTGGAAGCCAGAGGAGGAACAGAAGGGTCTCCTTCTGTTTCTTCTCCAGCTTCGCTGAAGGGGCGCTGCGCAGTTCTCCCTCTCAGAGAGGGAGAACTGCGCAGCATCCCTTCAGCGACGTGCCTGTCCTAGCTTCTGCCTTAGCCCTGCGCAGCCTCTTTGGGCAGGGGGAGCCTTCATCCCGCTGCCCTGAAGAGGCTTGGCGTGGTTATCCTAGAAGCCAGAACAGCCACACAGTATCCCAAAAGCCGGATCCCTCTTGCTGTTCTGGCTTCTGGGATTCAGAATAATTTTTTCTTGTTTTCCTCCTCCCAAAAGTAGGTGCACCCTATGGTCTGGTGCGCTCTATGAAGTGAAAAATACGGTGTGTTAGAACCCAAATTCATGTAGAACAGGTTATTTACGGAGTAAGCAGCTTGATAACAATGCAATTATTATTTAATTATTACATTTCTGTATCGCCGTATGTAGGTTTTTAAGTAGTTTACAAAGTTACCGCACCAAAGTGAAAACAATATATTTGAGATATATTTATTTTAGAACCTGTTCTAGTTCTGATTGTAATGTTTTAAACTATTTTTTAATGTTGTATTTTACATTGTTGTGACCTACCCTGGGACTTTGTGGTCAAGGGCAGGTAATAAATCTAATATTTTTCTTTAAAAACACCCAAGCATAAAAGTGGCAGGTACCAACACAGTTAAAAGTCGGTTTAAAATACACACAGGTCTCGCTATCCGAACACAATGCATTCTTGGGAAATAGTTTGTTAGGCGAGCATTAACATAACGAGTCCACGATTTCCGCTGATTCCTATGGGGAAATTTAATGCATTCCCAACATTGGAAATTTTGGCCCTAAAAGGTTGAAAAGCCTTGTAAAATCCCTGGAAAACCCCCTGAAACCTTGCAAAAAGCAAACAAGGAAGGGGGAAACTCATCTATTTGTCCAATCTCTCCCCTTGCCTCCCTTCCTCTCACCATGGCTGTTATGGATCAGTAAAACACAAAAAAGTAAGCCTTGTTTTAAGGCTGCTTATTTGTTTACAAGGGACGCGGGTGGCGCTGTGGGTTAAACCACAAAGCCTAGGACTTGCCAATCAGAAGGTCAGCGGTTCGAATCCCCGTGACGGGGTGAGCTCCCGTTGCTCAGTCCCTGCTCCTGCCAACCTAGCAGTTCGAAAGCACGCCAAAGTGCAAGTAGATAAATAGGTACCGCTCCAGTGGGAAGGTAAACGGCATTTCCATGCGCTGCTCTGGTTCGCCAGAAGTGGCTTAGTCATGCTGGCCACATGACCCGGAAGCTGTACGCCGGCTCCCTTGGCCAATAAAGCGAGATGAGCGCCGCAACCCCAGAGACGGTCACGACTGGACCTAATGGTCAGGGGTCCCTTTACCTTTACTATTTGTTTACAATAATATATTCAGATCCAGCTACAGTGGTACCTTGGGTTACATACGCTTCAGGTCACAGACTCCACTAACCCAGAAATAGTACCTCGGGTTAAGAACTTTGCTTCAGGATGAGAACAGAAATTGTGCTCTGGCGGCGCGGCAGCAGCAGGAGGCCCCATTAGCTAAAGTGGTGCTTCAGGTTAAGAACAGTTTCGGGTTAAGAACAGACCTCCGGAACGAATTAAGTACTTAACCCGAGGTACCACTGTATTTGGATATCTGAATCTGGTGTGTATAGGTGAGGTTAGAGTACTAATTCCTCTTGTTTGGATAAATGAATTTTCATACAATGAGTTTTTGGATAGCACGACCTGTATATAATCAAGACAGTTAAAATGCCTGGTTTTTTTGTTTGCCTTTTAAAGTCTTTGCCTGACACTTAAAAAGTTGGTGCCAAGTGAATTCTTCCAACTGCGCCACCACAGCCACAAATCAGTAGCATGGATTTATCAAGAATAATCCAGATTTGTGTCCAGATTAAGTTTACCGTGTTATTGGTTGGGTTGCTGAGTTAGTGGGCTGTGGGAATGTACCTTATCTTGATTTCAGGAAAACAAAGTTCCACATAATATTTCGGTTATCAAACTGGTTAAATTCAAGCTGGATGATAATACAATCAGGAGGATTTAGAGCTGGTTGGGAAATCACGCTCAAAGAGTTCTCACAATGCTTCCTCATCAAACCTGAGGCAAGTTTCAAATGGGGTGCTACAAGATTCAACCTGAGCCCAATGCTTCAACATTTTTATCAATGACTTAGATGTGGTGCTGTCCAGATGTTTTGGACTACAGTTCCCATTAAGTCCCAATTAGCATGGCTGCTCTGTCTGGGGCTGATGGGAATTTTAATGCAAAACACCTGGAGGGTACCAGATGGAGGGAAAGGTGAATAACTAAAGGGCCTATTAATGATGATTTAAACCAGCTCAATATTTAGCTTCCCTGTCACTTTCCTTAGCAAATATAGATAATAAACATAAGTTCTATGTCCATACAAAGAAGGGAGGGGGGACCTTAAGTATGGTTTATCACAGAAAAACAATTATGTACGTATTAAAAACTCCCACATGAAAATTCAAGAGAAATCCGAATTTCTGAAAACTTACTGATGATGCATTTGTGCCCTTCTTCCTAATATCAAGGATGTACTAACAGCAAAAGCAGCGCTTTCCAAGGTACAGGCTGCAAGAGCAAATCCACACCATTCAAGAATCTCTCCAAAGTAGTTGGCTCCAGTCACATATTCAAACATTCCTCCTGTAGAACAAAGCGTAGTAGCAATGCTCTGATAGATTTAAGTCATTGTAAATCCGAAAGTATTGGGAGTTACCCAGTTGTAAAACAACTAATTATAGCTACTTCTAGCAATATTGATGTTAAGTCCTGGTTTCCAGCCAGGTCCCAATCACTTCCATGGGCAAAAGAAGCAAGTTAGACTCTTGCCAGAGGGGAGCTGTTTTCTCAGAACAAGATTTTAGGAAGAGAGAAAGAACTAAATCTTTGTTGTTGTTGCTCCAAGGCACGAGAAGTCAGATCCTCAAGGAGGATTTGAGGTTCCCCTTCCTGGTGCTCCCCCAAAAATATCCGCAACTCTGGTCTACTAGGATCTAGTACTGGGAGAAAAGGATGGACCTTGGGCAGCTCCCCATCACTCTGGGTGGCATCCTGTACTTTCCTGTACTCTTAATTCTTTCTTCCAATTCTTCAATGTCATCCAGAGCTTCATGGTCAAATGCATCTGTGCTTGCAAGTAGGTCTCAAGCTGAGCAAGACCAGGCTGCTGGAGTACATGGTAGCTACATCCACATCCTCTGAGAAAACAAACTCTTGATTTAGCCCTTGTAGCAGACAGATTCGACTCAGGCGTGGTCGTTTCCATTTCTTGGCCGCTGCTTTTGTCAAGAGACGGTAGCTCGAGTCGGAGCTAGAGGTGAAGCTAAACACAAGGTGGTTCCTTGCACCTTTTGGTTTCCGTTACAAAAAGAAGCAGTGGTTTGCATGATGATCCAGATCGAGAATGTGGCAGCATGGGGGAATAGAGAGGAATGTTTGAGTCTGTTGGGATGTTAGGGCTGGCCTAGCAGGGAAAATAGCCAGAGGCATTGGTGGCATGGGTTGGTAGGGGAAGGGTGGACCAAGAGGGCAACTGGGCCATACAGCACTCTTACAAATTAGTTCAACTATGCATCCACGTGGGAGCCCCTCCCCACCTTCTCAAGTGTGGTGCTAGGCCTAGGCCTTAGATTTTTACTCACGGTTTCCAAATCTTAATTTTTTTGGAGAAATTGGTCGCTCACGATCGCCGGACTTTGGGGCTTCGCACAATGAAGAAAGCGAGTCGATTCCACAGTACCCATGTCTCCAACCCCGATCGCTCTCGGGGCTCTTACTAGAGCTTACTGGGGAGCAGGGGAGTCGCTCAGGGTACCCGCCGGAACACCAGGTCCTCAGAATGCTCAATCTGAGGTTTTTTTCGGGGTTCCGCAATGCTCTCGCAGTCACCCCAATCTTCAAAGCGCCGGGGCTCTTTCAGCCGAAAGAGCTCCCGTCCGCCATTAATTGGGCGACCAACCGGAAGTCTCCCTCCCCACCTTCTCAAGCGTGGTGCTAGGCCTAGGCCTTAGATTTGAACCTGTGATCCCCAGCATATGAAACCTGAGCTGTTCCCCCACCCCCGACATGGGCTCCTTCTGAAGCCCATGTGATCTCAGTGCACGTATTTGAGTCTTGAGGGAGCTGGGCAAAAGCAAAATGCCCTATCGGGAAGTCCTTCTCTTTTTTTGCTTGGTATCGCTGTTGCTGGTCAGGCATGGAAAACAGGAGGGGAGGCCATATTCCACTTCCCCATAATGGGGACTGAATTCACATCTCCAGCTCTGTTTGGTGAGCTGATAAGAGAGTATTGCTGTCAGCGTGTGGGTTGGACTTTTCTTTTGAGGGTGGGTGTGCAATTTCTCAGGGGGTGGGGTGGGGGGTAAATAAACCCTCTCCAAACCTCTCTGGATTATTATTTACTATTTTGTATTTTAATATGGCTGTACATTCCTCTGGAAGCCCTCTTGGGTGAAAAACAACCTATACAATTTAATTCAAAGGAATTATTTTTTTAGCAGTACAGTGGTACCTCGCAAGACGAATGCCTCGCAAGACAAAAAACTCGCTAGACGAAAGGGTTTTTTGTTTTTTGAGCTACTTCGCAAGACGATTTTCCCTATGGGCTTGCTTCGCAAGACGGAAAGGTCTTGCAAGTTTGTTTCCTTTTTCTTAACACCGTTAATACAGTTGCGACTTGACTTCGAGGAGCAACTCATAGAACGCGGTGTGGTAGCCTTTTTTGAGGTTTTTAAAGACTTTGGTGATTTTTGAAGCTTTTCCAAAACTTTCCCGACACCGTGCTTCGCAAGACGAAAAAAATCGCAAGACGACAATACTCGTGGAACGAATTAATTTTGTCTTGCGAAGCACCACTGTAAATCCCAGAATGAAGACAGAGTAACCATGTACGGCTCGTTTGGACAAAATAGCCCTGAAACTGAGTGAACTTGCATCATGCCCTTGGCAAAGAAATGGGATGCTCAGGAATTCACGGCTGTAATCCGCAGTACTGGGAAATGTGTGCCTGCCTCCATCAAATGCATGCTGTACCGAAAATGTTGCGTTTTAGCTAAGGCACGTTCCCCGCAGGGGCACAGCTTGAAACTGCCTCTCCATGTTTCTCAAGAAGCTAGGAGGGAAAGCCTGGTGTTTCCTTTGCATATAAACCTACAGGGTCTTTACCTTGCGAGGGGCATCGGGGGGGAAAGTAAGGTGACAATGCTGCTGGCTGATTGGTGCTTTCCAAGCACAGCTGCACATGGAGCGGATCACAGACAATGTCGCCATTGATAAGGAGCTGCATGGTTGCTAAGCACTGCGTGGCAAGACTGGTTGCTATTTCTGCATTTGCATTTCATTAAATGCTGTTGAATTTCTGCTGAGTGAGGATGGTGGTGGGGGGAGACAGACTTGGTTTGCACTTTTGCAAGCAGCAGAGGTAGTAACCACCTTGTCAAGACTGTAGCACTGGGTTACCTTCCAACCAGTTCCATATACTTAACTCGCATGGAAATTAAATGGGATTTGAGCACAGGGAAAAGTGATGCAGCCCCAGAGCTTCTACTGTCAATAAAGCGGGTGTCTCAGCAATAGCTAAAGAGATTTTCAAAAGGGGAAAATCTGTTTTATTGTGTTCTTTAAAAAACACCTGCTTTATGAGCGCAGGAATTTATATATAAGAAAAAACACTTCTACTCTTTTTGAATCCACTTCTGCGACAAGCAACTTGCAACGCAAGTTGGGTCTCTGGGACCCTTACTGTTAGAATGCTTCATTATAAAATAATTTAAGTTTCAATGACACATTTGCAGCATAGGATTTCGATGACACATTACTCACCTCTTGGTATCTTGTAGCCCGTTTCCCCTGGTTTTCTGAGATTCCTCAAAATATTATCAGAATGCACATTAATCAGCAGGCCACTTAGCCACCCTGAAAAACCTGAAAATATATTAGAATGCTGGTTTAGAAACACAACCTTAAAGAAAAAAAGTTATGAGAATGCACCACAGTATGTCTGTATCCGTTCTGCTTGCTTCATGATGTTCTGTACAAGGTCGCTCGGGCAGCCACAAAATTACCCGTGTGTTCTGATCAGTGCTAGGCACAATTTCCCCTGTATTAAAGTTAGTGGAACATTTTACTCTCACGTTTACAAAACACACATATCTTCCTACATCGGGCCTGAGAACAACAAACAGGCATCCTCTCTATAAATATGGGGATAACAGCAGTCTTTCTTCCATTGGGCTACTTTTCCAATTCGAAAGTGGGGTTCACTCAGCGGCAGTACTCCAGAAGGTAGCATCTCGACCCAAAGGAAAGAGAAAACAAAGCCTAACAGCTTCCACTTTAGCACAGTAAAATAGCTCCTATCAAGCATAAAGGCTCAACTGGAACCATCGCCAACGGCTGCACTTGAAAATCTGTGACGTATTTAGTACCTAAGGTTACTCACCTAGAACGAAGCGCAGTACTGTTGGCCAATCTGAAGAGTATTCCGCATAGTTACTCAAACTCCGGCCCTGCAGGTATCCATTATAAGCGCAGAAGACAAAAGCTAGCAAAAATGCAATGGCGGGTGTTGGCTTTCCTCCACGAATTAAGAAAGGAAAGATGAATGCCCTGGAATAAATGCAAAATTAAAGGTTTTAGTTAGTTTTAAACGTTACAGAAATGCAACACACACGCACAAAACTAAGCTCCAAGCTTATTGAAAACAGAATCCCTTTTAAGCAAATTGTGCAGTAGGCATAAAGTAATTTTGACCATTGTGACCAGTAGCCACTGTTGGTGTCTTGCAACTTTGACCTGTTGCAGGACCTTAGCCAGACCTTAGCAGAGCATACGCAGAGTTCCAGAAAGCAATCAGTTGCAGGCAGGATGGACGAAGCAGAAACAAATGCTGCTACTAGTAACTTGATTACTTAGATGTGTTTATTATGTACAGCTATGGTCTTCCCAGTAGTGATGTATGGAAGTGAGAGCTGTCCCATAAAGAAGGCTGATCGCCGAAGAATTGATGCTTTTGAATTATGGTGCTGGAGGAGACTCTTGAGAGTCCCATGGACTGCAAGAAGATCAAACCTATCCATTCTGAAGGAAATCAGCCCTGAGTGCTCACTGGAAGGACAGGTCCTGAAGCTGAGGCTCCAATACTTTGGCCACCTCATGAGAAGAGAAGACTCCCTGGAAAAGACCCTGATGTTGGGAAAGATGGAGGGCACAAGGAGAAGGGGACGACAGAGGATGAGATGGTTGGATGGTGTTCTTGAAGCTACCAGCATGAGTTTGACCAAGCTGCGAGAGGCAGTGGAAGACAGGCGTGCCTGGCATGCACTGATCCATGGGGTCACGAAGAGTTGGACACGACTAAGTGACTAAACAACAAAATTGTCCTTCGCCTTAGGGAGCCAGACCCACATACACCCAAACTCCTTTTGCATGTGTATACTTAGATGTGTATACACCCCATTGAGCCCAAAAACACCCCATTGAGCGTGACATCACACCTTCTCAGCATACTGCTATTTCAGCTTCTAATTGCCACTGGGAAAAGCAGTCCAATTACTTGCTAAACTATGGCTGCAAGATTTCAGTGGTAGATTAATCAATTAAGAAGTAATTGATTAGCTGGTAGGGGACCAATTTTCATCAGTGAGGATAAATTGTAATCAGGGGAGGTTGGTGAATTGAAGGCACACATTTTGATGTTCTTTAGGTTCAGAAGAATCACTATAGCAGTTAACTAAAGAGGAAGCATAGAAGATGGAAGATGCTCTGGTCCATGGGATCGCGAAGAGTCGGACATGACTAAACGACTAAACTGGGTTCCGCGGCACCGTGTGGGAAAGGCTTGTCGCAGAAAGAGTCGGGCAGACGACCGCCGGCCGCAAAGCGGGAGGCTGACAGAGCGCGGCGAGCAGGACGCTAAATTCAGCGACTAACCTCTGGCGGACGTGGGGATCCTCTCACCCGGCGCAGCAGAAGACAACCCTCGGGGCGGAGCTCCTGCCACAGGCCTCCCGCCTTCTTCCCCACGCGGGGCAGAATAAGTGGAAACCGGCGGACGCAGCGGGTTTCTCAGCCGCTGCCCGGGTTGCCCCTCTCTCCTACAGAGCCGCATCCATCCCAGCCCCTCCTGTCATCTCAACCTGCCCGTCTAATTTACATACCATCATATCCTCCTTTCTTATTGATTCACTTAGATTTAGTCTTACATTTCTCGCTTTGTCTCCGTAGACTGCGCGGAGGGAGAGCCAGAGAGAGGCATCGCTCCTGCGCGGCGGGAGAGGGAGCAGCCGGAGCGATGCCCCAAACGAGCTGAATTCCGAGCGAGGGACTGAGGGGGGAGGGAAAAAACTTTCACTTTCGTGCGTCCCTCCCGGCGTGACGCTGCGCGCTGACGTCACGGGGCGGGGCTTTAATGGTGGTGTGCCGCGAGATTTTTTTCCAGTAAACAGGTGTGCCGTTGCCCAAAAAAGTTTGGAAACACTGACTAAACAACAACATTATGTACAGCAGACTCTACAAGTTACTATATACAGGAACAGATACACGGATCTTAACTAGCTCTCTCTTAACAAAACCAAACGACTCTCGGAAACACCACACTGACCAAAAAACACATTCCAGTCAGTAGGACATAAATCATTATGCCTGTGTGAGACCTTATGGTAGAGCTGCCTCCAAGGTCCCATATCTCTAGGCAGATAACTCTTCTTTGCTCAGTCTTGGCTGTTGGGCAACTCTTAATTGACAGCCACCGGTAGCTTCTTTAAATTGTATAGTCCATTTCAAGGCCTCCATATCTTAGGGATGCAAATTCCACAGTTTAAACCAAATTCCATAGTTTAAATGTAAAAATGCATTTCGTTCTGTCTGCCCCGAAATTCCTACTATAGTCGTACCTTGGTTTTCGAACAGCTTAGTTCCCGAACGTTTTGGCTCCCGAACGCTGCAAACTTCTGGTTTGAGAACTATTTTTGGAAACCAAATGTCCATCGGGGCTTCTGATTGGCTGCAGGAGCTCCTGCCAACCTAGCAGTTCGAAAGCACGTCAAAGTGCAAGTAGATAAATAGGTACCACTCCGGCAGGAAGGTAAACGGCGTTTCCGTGCGCTGCTCTGGTTCGCCAGAAGCGGCTTAGTCATGCTGGCCACATGACCCAGAAGCTGTACGCTGGCTCCCTCGGCCAATAAAGCGAGATGAGCGCCGCAACCCCCGAGTCGGCCATGACTGGACCTCATGGTCAGGGGTCCCTTTACCCTTTATATGTGAGCACACCCCGTTTCCACCAATCCCCTCCACAAACAGCAGCTCTCTAAGCCATATCCCAGACTGTTCCAGGCTGAGAGGGGAGAATGGGTGTGATCCTGCTCTCCTCTCCATAATTTCGCTAATCCACGGTTTTAAAATGCCCGAAAAGTGCACACAACTGTTACCAGTGCCCTCAGCTTCCTCATTATTGGCATCTTTGGTGTAAACCTGGGCTGTAGTGCAAAAAAGTGCATTCTTGATGTTTTCCTGGCTACGAAACCCAAGTAAAAAGCCACCCTTGGTTCAGAAATGTAATCCTTGGGGTGAGACATCAAGGCAGAAGCAGCCTGAGACCAGAGGAGAATGTCCATCACCCAAACAAGATGACCCTGTGGATTTGAGGTTTGGCTTATGGACAGTGTGGAATGCCCCCCACCCGGAGAACTCACAGCAAGTCCCTTGGGGTGAAGGAGGAAATTTCCAGTGTTCCAGAGGGTTTCTTTCCCCCCAAATAACGACAAGCTGCAAAAACTTGAAAAGCAAAAGAAAGCCTCTTTTGGTTCGAGTGGCCTCCCTTTTCAGACTCACCAGGCAGCAGCCATCTTATTCACCGTATTTTTCGCTCTATAAGACGCACTTTTCCCCTCCTAAAAAGGGGAACGTGTGTGCGTCTTATGGAGCGAATGCAGGCGAGAGGCTCTGCTCAGTGCTCCCTTTAAAGAGCTAGCTGCCCTCCTCCCTCCTAGGGGAAAAGCCCCCAAGAGCTGCACACACGCTTTGCATGCTCTTTAAAGGGAGCACGGCTCTTGGGGGAGCCTTCCTCCGGCTGCCCGGGAGAGGCTTGGTGCGGCTATCCCATAAGCCAGAACAGCAACAGGCTATCCTAGAAGCCAGATCCCTCTTGCTTTTCTGGCTTCTGGGATTCAGAATTTTTTTCTTTCTTGTTTTCCCCCTCCAAAAACTAGGTGCGTCTTATGTTCTGGTGCGTCTTATAGAGTGAAAATACTTGTTTTTGTCCTGCTTTTCAGCATCTCCCAAAGAAACTCACTTCAAGCCATCTTTCATCATCTGTGCACGAGGCAGCAGCAGGTGAGGCAGGGCTGCCATAGGGTACTGTGAGGGCCACCCTGCTCTGATATGGATCAGAACAGAGAAGGACGCAAGCGAGAGGGTGCATGCGGATGTCAGCGCTGCCCTTGCCCCTGTAATGCGCTGCATGCTCATTGGCAACTGTCTGCAATGGGGAAGCCCCCTATGATCATGGAGGCTTCTGTTTGTTTCGAAACCCTGGTTTTTCCTGGCTTCTGAAAACCCTTGGTAGCCTCCACGGTTGCTTAAAGCGTGGTGCTGATAACCGCAGTTTGATCCCCATATGGGGCGGCTGCATTTCCAGGGTCTCATGGAAACAGAAGCCTCCTCTGAAGATGTTTTTCCCCCAAAAAATTTTTTATTCATTTTATAACACAAATAAAAAACACAAACAGAAAAGACAAACAATACAAATTCTTGTCATATCCTTATTTTTCTAAACATTGTTAAGTGGGCTTCCCCAAGTCCCACCTATCTGATATTCATTTTACTTCATCTTTCGCAGTATACATCTATCATAATTTCTAACCCTCTTTTTTTTTTTAATCACACTTAAAATAACTTCAAATTTGATCACTTACAAATAATACTATTTTAAAATACCCTATCTTCTACTTCTAACCCTACAGCCTATATCCACTTCCAAAGCTATTCTAAGGTTTAAATATTAACCTCCTCTGAAGATGTTGTGCAAGTGACACTTATTTCAGATTATAGTTTGTTTCCTCTCCAATCTGGGGAGGAATCAATCACGCGCAGAACATTTCAACCACCAATTATTGAATGCAGATGCATTTCATCATACATGCATGTGCAAAGGACTCAGATGCCACTAGATTGTGTATCCCGTAAAAGGCAGTCATGCACAGAACATTCTTTAGTCTTTGGAAATCATTGTATGTATTGCATGTTACTCCTGACAGACCAGGGTTTAACCTTGATCTGATTACACATTCATGCATAGTTCTCAATGTACTCTTAGCTTAATCCTATGCATTCCACTAATAGGCTTGGTTCCAGATTAATGTAGTTAAAACCAATGGGCAAGTTAAGGTAAAGGTAAAGGGACCCCTGACCATTAGGTCCAGTCGTGACCGACTCTGGGGTTGCGGCGCTCATCTCGCTTTATTGGCCGAGGGAGCCGGCGTACAGCTTCCGGGTCATGTGGCCAGCATGACTAAGCCGCTTCTGGCGAGCCAGAGCAGCGCACGGAAACACCGTTTACCTTCCTGCTGGAGCGGTACCTATTTTTCTACTTGCACTGGCATGCTTTCAAA